ATTTTTATTAGTGTCCTAGTCAGATGTGGAAATATAATAAATGAAATCCACCACCACTCCTTAAAAGTTTTTGATTTAATCCTAATTTCTTCCCTCATCTTAATCTGCAAATAATATTAATCACCGAAACATTTATCTTTTTGAAGTGATATCTTGAATAAATAACTTGAAGCTTATGAAACAAATCTTGATGACCCCGTCCATGAACTAATAATGGGAAATTAAGGTATTTCGAAATAGCTCTGCAGTGTTTGTTTCCTTCTTCGGGTAGCAGTTATCTAGATAGGAAATGGGGTTGGATTGACGTATTAAGATAGGGGTTGGAGACCCCTGGATTGCATTGACCCGGTAGAATATCGAAATGTAACAAATAAGGTTGTGGAAAATACTAAACGTCTAAAAGTTTATGTGTGAATTCTATTATTCTATCCATTTCCACAATCGTTACTATATGTATGTATATATATATATATATATCGATTCGTAAAAAGAAACCCACTATATTTTGTTTACTATTTTTGCTTTCTATTCTAGTGTAGCTTGTATTCGTGCAGGAGTTAAAAAAAAAAGAAAACCTATGTTCAGTATCGAAAATTTCCACTCAGTCATCAAGGATCAAATCAAAAAACGTCACATCAAATCGATGTGACGAGAATATCAGCTACTACCGTTTATCCGATTTTCATAAACTTTTCAGGAATTGTGCAGGTTGGTGTCTAGATGATCTCAATCAATTTCATAAAATTCCATCGAGTACTTCCATTTACACACACGAGCAAATGTTTTTTTCTTAGATATTGAATATTTCTTAAACAACTCATTCGAATAGGACCAAATTTGGAATACAGGTCATCTGGTAGACACTGAACATATGGGAAAGTATGTTAAATTTATTTCATAGTTTAATGAAGTAATAAGATTTTATGACCTCCCGGGTCACAGCACTTCTTACTAATTCACTCCCCTAAATAGTTGAATTTCTTTACGTATCGCGTTATATTTTCTAAATCATGGCGGTTTGCAAACAGTTCTTATACTCAATTATTAATAACCCCTTATTAATTTAGTTTTTGAACCATGATTTTTTTTTTAAATACTGCTTTAAGTCGATTTTAATTAAATTTTATCATAAGATGATATTATATTTTTATTTAATGTAAGTGGAGAAAATTGTAGAAGTATATATTAATCTGTTAACCAAGTATACACTTTCATATTTAATTTCATTCAACTACATTCTAAGTGTTACATGATATGAAAATGGTTAAGTTTTAGATCGTAACAGGCGCGTACTTGAATTAACACATGATGTGACATAACGCGTTCAAACTGAAGATAACTTAAGCTATAAATTTAACAGGAAATGTCGGTGATAACACGTAAGATCCTTGAATCAGACCTCCGTAGGTATAATCTGTTTTTCCTAAAAAAAAAACGACTCGAACTTATCACGTAGAATATTTGGGAAAAAATACTACTAATAATTGAAATTCATTAAATGATTTACAACATATTAACCCATCAACTACTAAAGGGTGCAGTAAGTAAAGTAAAAAAAAAAACATTTTGAAATTTTCTTGAATATTATTGAAGATTTCTTGAATTTTGTCACATGGACATTGGTTATAGTGAGGTAAGATCACATTCACACTATATATATATATGCAAAAAAATATAAAATTAACAGAAGCAAAATAATAATAAAAAAATATATGAAATAAATAAAATAACTTAAAAAAATAACGAAATTAAAAAACACATCCATATCTATATATACTATTTACAATCAGACGAGGAAACTCCGAGGCAGGCTTGTCCCTACAACTATGGAGAGAAAAGCAGGACTCCAGGAGATCTCTGCATTACTCTCAACCGCATCATTGGTACTGAAGCCAGCGGAGATTGATCGAGAGCGCTTGAGCCATATACACTCATGTCTTAACTCAGAGAATTTGACTATTACCAGAACTCCAATATATCCAAACTATAAAATGTTGCGGGGCCACAGCTGTTTTACAACATTATTCTAGGAGGATTGTAGGGATGGGTGGTGTTTGATAGGAATTGTGCAAGAGGATTTGAATGATGCTCAAGATTCTGGTGAAATTTGGAAAAAAAAAAATCTGGGATAATAATTTTTTTTAATTTACTTTTTCGTCTTCCCCAAGTTCTTAGAACTACTCGCTTACCAACTACGGATCCATTTTGAATGAAATCTTGTTAGTGAGGTTGGTATATTTTTGAATAACGTAAAGAGTTATATGATAACATATATCCACTTAATATCATCTGGAATTATGCCCTCAGTGGATAAATGTTATCAAAACCTCACACATAAAGTACACACTTTAAAATCCACAACTCACTCTTCATAACAGACGATAGTACTCAAGAATGCTAACACGGGCCCCATAATCGTTAGTTGAACATTTTTTTCAGAACCCGATAAGACATGATTTCGGGGTCTCTTATACAGGAGTCATTGTTGTTCTTGATTATATCCTTAAGAAGATATTGTCATGCAATTATGATAATACATCATCCTTGGTCTAAACGTCTCAATTTGAAACAAAAATGCAGGTTTTCTATATTCGGTAGTAAATACTATACATTTCTTCGAAGATATAGGAACATATTTCATTATTAGCATCAATCTCAATTGATCAAGGAACCTGAGCAGTGACTGAGTGATCAGCATTTGTATTGGAGGTTGAAAAATGCTTCAAACTATACGAATAAAACTTACATAAATGCTCACAGAATATTAATTTAGCATAAATTAGGGTAAGGTACGAGGAGTGTTAAGTGGCATTGCACCCAAATAATATCCATGAAGTGACCTAGATTTTTTTCAACAATGTCCTTGGCATTTAATTTAACACAACATTTTTCCTCCATTACTCTCACAATCTCAAGTACAAGCCCCTTAAACTTGTATTCTTATCGGGTAAGATTTTCTGAATCCTCAGCCTAACATGATGGATGGATCTTGTATGAAAGGACAGACGAGGAAAGAAATGGAAGAAGAGTTGTGGAAGACGAAGACACGCCCACACCGGTCCACCTTGCGCCTTCAAGAATGGCTCTTCTGATGTAATAACTGTTTTTCTTTGCATCACAAAAAAATCTGGTCTAAAGAGCACTGGATTCTTGCATCACTAATAGACCGTTGTACATATCTCTTTTTATCAGATTATTAACATCCGCCTAAAAATTCGTAAATTTCTTCCACTCATCGTACACTACAACTATCTTATTAACGAAAGTTTTCAATCTGGATTTCGGGAAATGTTGTCCATTTAATTAGGTACTAAAAACTCGTAAATACCCATTTGCTTTTCACTTGAATCGTAAGAAAATTTGAGTACAAAATTGAGAAAAAAGGTAACATTCGAAGATATTGTGCGGTTTGGCGTGACCTACAGCCCCAAAATGTCAAAATAACGAGGTTATATAGGACAAACGGCCCAATATTTTTGCAGGCCATCTTTTTTCTCGATTTTGTGCCCAAACTATCTATCGAGGCAAGTGGAAAGCAAATGGGTATTTACGAGTGGGTTTTCGTGGGTTTTTATTACCTAATTAAATAGACCAAGTTTGCTCCCCTCCAGAAAAGGGGTCTATGGTTCATGAAATATCAGATCTCCAAACATTAAAGTAATATCTTCAAACATCCCCTACGAATAAAAACTTCGATACTTGAAGAACTTTATTAAAAAAATAATAGACTAAAAAGTGATATCCAACAATGTACAAATGTAGTCCATTGCACTAAAAAAAAATATCATTTTTCTTAATTCACTTTTTATGTAACAATACTTCTTTCATTTTATTATTCACTTGAATAAGTTTTTTTTTATTAAATCCATATTTTTCTTTAAACATGACAAATTTTTTAAAATTTAATTGGTCGACATTATTTGTTTATCATTACAGTTTAAAATAATTAAATTTAATATTTATTTTCGGAAGACAAGCATGATGTGCTTTGGTGTGCAAATGGGTATTTAAGAGTTTCTAGTAATTAAAATGATTAAGATATCCGATCTTTAGATTGAAACGCCCCAAATCCGAAAGAAATAAAATATTTGTAAGTTACAATAAGAGGAAGCTTTTAGGCGGATGTTAATAATTTGATAAAAGAGGTCTGTACCACGGACTATAATGATTCTTTTGTCAACCAATCATATCCTCGTCTTATTGGTAGAAAACCGAGTGGTTACTTGGCGAGATAATTTGATGATTACAAGTTTATGCTGACAATTAGTTATACAATCTAAACCACATGTCAATCTGTGGAGTTATTCAGCTAAAGAGCTAAACACTTGTCTAGTAAGTAAGTATTACTTACAATAGTTTCCTAGTAAGTAGCACACTTCTTTCACTTTCGATTTTACTCATCTAGTAGATAAAAACAGTTCAGTTTATATGTGTTTATATGAATACCTATAAAGAGGTCCGATTAACTGTGCGACCATACGGGAAGGCAGTCGGGAGCCGTACCCCTTACCTCCTACATAAATAACATTACGTATCTTCAGTCTCCGCCTATAACAACATAAGTCGAAAAGTGGTCCTCACTTGTTTTATAAATTGAGATCATCTTCCAAGCCTTCTAAACACCGTGAAGAATTTGATAACTCGCCAATAAGGGCTTAGAGGCCAAGAAGGGAACTATGAATTTATTAATTTCTTCACGGTGTTTGAATGGCTTGAAATATTATCTTAATTTACAGAACTCGTGAGATCAATTTTTCGACTTAACTATTTATGGTCAAAGACCATAGAAATATTACATAAAATTATCTAATTTTGCTTTATTATTTTAAATAATGAAACTTTGCAATCAACAAAAAAAAAAAAAAAAATCTATCAACATTTGAGTATTTACGTTTCAATCTACGTAGAATCCTTAAACCGAATAAGAAAATAATTCGTCGGTCCGCCGTCCGCGGCTTTACGCTGAGACTACTGGGCGATTGTTTTGAAATCTTGTATCAATGTCAGATGTTACTCGAGGATGGTCTCTAGAATTAGCCATTTACTCTGCCATATTTCTTCAAGATGACAACTGAAAAATCGGCATCCTTATAAACTGTAACGCCCAAAACATATAACGATTTTAATGAAACTTAATACCATATTTCCTCGAAAAGAAGCTGAAAAAAAAGATTATGAGTAATGCAAGACTAGATTTGCGAATAACTCAAAAAGTATACACTTTTTTTGTGATTTTTATAATCGAGCATTTCAAAGGTATTTAAATTTCCAAAAAGTGAGAAAAAATTACATCGAAATTAGATCGCCGTTAATAACGATGTAGCGATTTTCAAAATGAAGTAAACGAAATTAGTCAATACTATATATTTTATTAGAATGAATCAAAATGTCAGGAATTTCAGTCAAGGTATGTTTATTAGGTTAGCCAACGTTTCGAACCAAACATCCTCAGGGCTATCGTTTTAGCCCTGAGGATGACACACATGTTTGGGTCGAAACGTCGGCTAGCCCAATAAACATACCTTGACTGAAGTTCCTGATAATTTTGTTACATCATTATAATTTATCAGGCGTCTACTTACCCATCTCTATATCTTTTCTCGTTTGTTAATAATTTTCCATCAAAAGGGGGTAACTCCATGTTTTTCCATTTATCCTCCAAATTTGTTCTATCGATGGCAGACCTTTTAGAACGTTTTTTTTTTTTTTTTTACTTTTGGAACAATTTAACAATTTGTAGATACTCTTTCGTTTAGAAGACTTCTTAAATATAAACCACGACTTATTTCTTGTCAAGATTCTTGTCGTGTGTCTTGTCAATCTTGCCCCGACGCATATTCTGATCACACAAAAAGATTATAAAGACAAAAGGATACATCGATTTGAGATCTAAATTTCTTATTTCTGGTAAACTGTGATACCTCTGATCTGTCAAGAATTTATCACTCACTGCCTGTATTTCAGTTTTGTGTTCAACGTGAAAGAAAAACAAACAGATGATTAAGGCCTTCAGACAACTGACTCACGTTTCCAAGGTTTTCCAAAAAAACTATTTCCTGTCGTATCTTGAAACACTCGATTGAAGGATAAAAACTAATAAATTTCTAAGCATCTGAGCACCTGTCTGGGATGACTTATTCAGAATTAACATTTACTTAAATGCAGTGCCGTTCTTTGAGTTTTGACGCCCCTGAGAAATGACGTGATCTCCCACCCTCTAATTTCTTAAGCTATTTTATATCATGTAATATTTGAATATTAAATCTTATTCTTGAGATGAAGATTTAAAATTCAAATTCATTAATTATTTTAATACGTTTTGTATATATATTCTGAAATTACAACCTTCCGAAGAATAATGTGGGTGTTATGGATTATTTAACCCCAACCTGGTTACATTGAATTAGCATGATAAAATTTAGCTACAGCTTATCAACAGCCACACTGTAAAAGCCTGTAAGGACAATTTCGTTTAATAATGATGGATGTTTTCTTGTCAATATTGTCCTGACACACATTCTGATCCCAAAAAATGAAATCTACGATGTTTCATTTCTTTTCTATGCCTTTTGTAAAAACCTGTAACCTAAAAATCAGCAAATCCTGATGTAAAAAAGTGTGAGTTACAGTGAAGTTAATAGAGATTCTGTCTTTACCGTAAAATGTAATGAAATGCACAATGAAACGTGGTGATTTAAATATAGAATGTATAAAACGTTTTGCGCATAGCCTACAGTGTCAATTAGCTTTATTAATAGGCTAAAACTTGATCTGGTGATAGCTGCACAAAAGCACTTAAAGAGGCATTTGAAATTGTGTATGAAAATGGCAAAAAAGTAGGACTTGTGATCAATGAAAACAACACTAAATACCTGAAACTGTCCTCGGCAGCAAGTAGAAGATCCTGCAAATGAAATCACAATAAAGAATTTTAAGTTCGAAAATATACCCACATTCGTGTATCTGGGTTCTGCCCTAAATAATGAAAATGTAATCAGCAGAGAAATAGACAACAGAATAATGGCTGGTAATAGAGCTTACTATGCAAACCTAAAACTTCTCAAGTCTGCATCGTTATCAAAAGCCACTAAAATAAAGCTGTATAAAACGCTTATTAGACCAGCAGTCCCCTATGGAGCGGAAATCTGGTGTTTATCGCAAGAGGATTGCCGTAAACTAAAAGTATTTGAAAGGAAAATAATAATAAGAATTTTACGATGCTACAAGTGTTAATGGTGAGTGGAAAATCAAAAGTAACAATGTAATCGAGGCTATATTAGAGAATTAAAACATTACTATATATCAAGGCAAGTAGGCTTAGATGGGCAGGTCATGTAGTCAGAATGGAGGATGAACTGGTGCAGAGAAAAATATCGGAAGCATACTTCAGTGGGAAGAGGAAGACTGAGAACATTACTATCTACTAACGGATCCAGGATTTAATTTTGGGGAGCCTTTAGGCAGAAAGAATTTTTTTTGTATGTACATATTACGATAAGTACCTCGGAAGACAAGAAGAAACTAAGTACCTACATGACATGGTGTTTAGGTGATTCTTCAAGTCTAATTAAATTTAATTGGACGAACAATAATACTTTTAGAGATAATTTTTTTTCATAAAAAATGGTAACATTTTACCATTTGGAGATAGGGAGGGGGCTTCAACTCGAAAGGCCCCCTCCCTCGCAGATCCCCCTGCGGGTACTATCGGTACTGTCGTCTAATCGTCTATCCCTACTTTTACTTAAGTAATCTTTGTTTTGCAAAGTAACAAAAAGCTATAAGTTAGAAGTAATAGCCCTAAAAGATTATTTGGAAGAAATGCGATCAAAAAAGTTACATAGAACATTAAATCTTTGTCCTGGGCCTGCAAATAAAAATAGAACCAAAAATATAATGCTCATAGAACAAAAATACGCAGTTTTTTGTCTCTGATTTTTTTTAGTTTTTGTTCTTAAAGCGTTTTGCAGTGTGGCTGTCGATATACTATTTGTTTGATTAATTAAATCTATGTATAGAAATAAACTTCAAGATTTATCGAGAAGCGGGAGTCATGTAGCCACTTACTGTTTCTAATTAAATAAGCTCCCTCATCAATATATGATGAACTATTTTGTATCAGCCCATCTAACTGTATCTAGTTCTAATAAAAGACCGCAACCGAGCTATTACTGAGCTCTTGACGTGAAAAGACGACGTTCTTGAGAAGAATTAGGAGCAGAATGAATCATGAGTCCATCACTGACCAAGTCACCCTACGTCAGCCGCATGAAGCTGGGCTAAGAATAACTCATAGTGGTCGATTCCTTTGCATATTGCACGGAATAAGGCTTTGCCTAGAGGACAATATCAAACTCGGGCATTAGACATTTCAGAAGGTTTACTTAAAAAAGAAAAATACTTCAAAAGGTACATAAAAATCTGGAATTCCCTCCCTATCAAAATTCGACATTCCCCATCCATATCCAAATTCAAAACCCTCCTATTCCAATTCCTATCCCAAGAACAGTCAGATAGTTGCTAACCATTCGAGCTGATTTTAATAGAGAATTTGATACATACAAATTCATTGATTGATTCATTGATACATTTTTATTTTTTAATTCTTTATTATTTTCTTAAAAGTGTATACTAGTGCAAATAGCTTTAAGTGCCTTGTCATAGTATTAATTGTTTTGTATATAGTTTCGTTTTTTTTATATAGAATGTTTACCTTATATTTTTTTTAAATTATTTCTTTTTTTCGATTGATTTTATTTTGGCCAGATGTGATCTTTTAATTTTGTTCTATTTTGTTATTCTCAAGGGACTGTGTCCCAGAATAAAATTATTTTTCTATCTATCTATCTATCTAAAAACAACTAACAGAGAAAAATAATTTCACTTACAAAAGTATATTATTCAAAGTCAACTTTAATAGAACAATAACTTATAAATATTTGGTATTTATTGCAAACTACATCGAAGTTACCATTAGACAATTGTTATAGTGTTCAGACACATAACTTTTTGGAAAGTTAATGGTAAATATTATAACTCAAGAAATGTGTTGCAGCTTAGCACCTAAACAACATGCAGCAAACATGTGCAGTAGTTCAGTCAATGAATGCTCAAAAATGGGGTATAGAAGGAAATGGTGAAGACACAATTTTTGACTTTGGTTCATTGTTTGGACTAGCAAGGAAATAAACAAACTAAAAGTCCAAACTCCAAGGTGGTGAGCCAGGAGAGAGGGGAGGGGCGCATAGTAGATCACTTTTTTCGGGTTTTCGGTTATAACAGGAAAACTATTCATCGCATCGACAAAGACGTTCTTTACAAAATTGAAGCCAATAAAATTTTCAATATGATTAATTATATACCCTTTTGTGCTATCTCGTCTAGTTTCCGAGATAACTGGCCTCGTCTATAGCTAATGTGGATAAAACAATTTTTATCTCACGTTTTTTCCTGTAACTAACTAGCTATAACCCTTGATTGCTTCGTTTTACGATTAAGTGATGTGGGAGAAAGTTTTCAATAATCAAATTTTCTTCAAGAATATATATTATTTTATTAGTTCATCTTCAACGGTTCTAAAGTTAGATCAGCTATAACTTTATATGTCGATTACGAGAAATTGCAGGAAAAAATAATATTTATAATAAACGTTATTGTATATATATATATATTTTTTTTTTCATATCCACTTTTTATTTATTTTTCACTTGGAAGCTTTTCATTGTTTTCATAGTAGTCCTTTTACTGCTTAAAAGCATTGTAAGGTGTATTTTTTGATTTTTTGTCGTTTATGAGTACTTTGTTCTTCATCTGTAATATAACAGGTGATGGGGCTAGACATATAGACAGAGATTTAGATATATAAAATTAGAACAATATAATAATGAGTATTAAAAAAAAAAAAAAATTTCTGGAAATTCTTGGAATTGACATATAAAGTTATCAAATCGTTCTAACTTTAGAACCGTTAAAGATAAACTAGTAAAATAATATATATTCTTGAAGAAAATTTAACTATTATAAACATTCTTCCTCACGACTTAATCATAGAAAGAAGCAATCAAGAGTTAGCTAGTCATTGACAGTAAAAACATGAGGTAAATGTCTTTTTTTCCACATGAGGACGCATATCTCGGAAACTAATCGAGATATCAAAAAAAGGTATATAATCAATCATATTGCAAATTTTAACTGCTTTAATTTTGTATAGAGCCTCTTTGTCCACAGGATGGATAGTTTTTCTGATATAAGCGAAAACCCGAAAAAAGTAAACTTCTAGGCGCAGTAAACCTCTCAACTCAAATACTAACCTTTTTTTAGTATCAAAGGATTTAATTACTACTTCAGTTGATAAACGATTAACTGAAGTAGTTATTGAATTAATGATATAGATTCAATTTGGGTAAAATACATGGTACTAGTATTCAAAGTAACATTTGCCAATCTCTCCACCACACATAGAAGGGAAGAGGCCTACATTCATGGCCCATTTCGGACAAGGAAAGGTCTAAATCTTTCCTCAGTTTTTAAACCATATAGGGACTTCAATAACACAGAAAATTATATTTTCATACAAAATAATTTAAACGTCACTATAGATTACCCTACCACGGACTCCTTTCACACCATTACAAGTTGCACAATAAATTAGACAATTGCCTAAAAGAAAAACTCCTGGTCATGAATTGATTAGTGCTAAGGCGCTCTCAAAAATTCCAAGGAAACCTCAAGTATTTCTCATCACTATCTTCAATTACATTCTCAGGACCAGCAAATTTCCAAAATATTGGAAATACTCTGACATAATGATTAAAAAGAAACACTAAGACACCAACAGTCCACCTTCCTATAGATAGATTAGTTTGTTTCCAGTATGCTTTATATTATTCGAAAAAATACTACACCCGATATAACAACAGATATATATTAGATATAACAACAGTCAGATTATTCCAGGCCATCAATTCGGGTTTCGAAAATTACACTCAACAATACAATTGCACAGACTACATATTGACAGCAGTAGAGTGGAAATAACATGAAACCAGGGTGTTCCAGGATGTTGCCTAAGTTCCAGAGATACCCACAAGGGGATAACATAGCGCATGATGGAAGCAAAATTTTTGAGGGAGGCGAATTTTGATGGGGTTTTAAATTTTTGGGGATGGCAATTTCAACGGGATTATGAATTTTCGGATTGAATAGTTTCAAACCAGGTGACAAGACAAAAGATTATAAGTGTAATTGTATATGACCTATGATTTTTAAAATTTTATTTTAGCTTGTACTGTTTTAAGAGGAGAGAAAAAAATATCTAAGGAAGAGAGGGTCATGTGCCAGCAAACTTAGGGAGGATGGGTACCCCTGCCAAGTTGTCTTCAAAGTCAGCTATCAGAGGCTTCTATTCAAGCTTAAGACCATATTTTCACATACCTATACCTACTACTTCTTCATTCTTTTCTCTAACGCACATTTTTCTCAGTATCAATTGATTCAGCTCTATCATCAATTTATCATTTTAGCCAGCGTTCCTAAGGGATCAATCCTAACCTCTATAGCCTATTGTACATTACATACACACACGACATGACATGCCTCAAAGTATCCACATCTTTACAACCTATACGAGACTACTAGACATGAAAATAACTTACAAAAAATAGAATATTGGTGTAAAATTTGGAAAACTCAAATAACAATTGATGAATAAGTCATCAAAAGTCATGACACATTTAATTTAATCTAGCACTAGAAACATGCTCTCCTGTATACTAACACAAGAAATTGCGATACAAATTCACATACAAATACTTCAAACTTTTTAATCTAAGATTCTACAACACATAACCCAAGCACCATGGTAAATGAATAACATTAAAAATACACTTCAGACAGTCAATAAACTCACAGGAACATACTACAACCAGTTTCAAGATAAGTTGAATGTTAACACCAATAAACTAATAAAAGAATTGGAAAAACTCTCTAGAGGAGAGTATCCAGGGATCTACTTTTCCTCATGCCTGTCAAGCCTCTTTTAAATTGTTTCTTTTTTGTTTCTGATGATAAATATGGCTGTGCTCGTCTATAGATTATAATTAACAGGTAAGTATTAAAAAATGAAAGTAGGAAAAAAAATCCTATGGGACCACAATGAAAGTATAACATTATGATTGGGAAAAAAATAATATATATATAGAAATCAGTTTGATTACGGTTAAGTCAACATATAAACCTTTTGTTATATAACTTATTTTAAAACCAATTCTGATGATTTTTTTTCATCATTAACTTTTTAAAACAAATTGGTTTAAATTTAATGTTAATTATTCAATAGGTTTAAATTGAAGCTTTATTATCAAAGAACGATCCCTCATAACTTTTGATAAAAAAAATAAAAATAAAAAAATAGATGTCTGCCTTTTTGTGAAGTCCATTTAATACACTCAAATTATGGAGTGATTAACTGACAAATAATTTTTCTTTAGATTTAACTTTTAATTTACATGTTCTGTCATTATTTTATCTCATAATTTTTAATAACTCTCATTTTAAGATCCTTATATATATATATATATATATATATATATATATATATATCAGAGCCATTGTTTATGTGAGCGTCTCTTTTTCCTTCTTGTTCTTTTTTTTTTTTATTCTGTAATATCTCATCTGCTGCGCTTGGCCCAGCTAGCTGATTCTCTGAGACTTATAAATTTAGATCATAAAAATATTAAAAGCATTTTGCTACGACTGGGATAAATTAACCATCAAAACGCTAATAACAATAACGATCAGTTAATAATAGCTGTCACTAGTAACAGTTCTGCTAAAATCATAGCTAATATCACTGCTAATATTTTACTAAATGTTACTGGTAAAATTTCAGTTTGAACAGGGCATTAGTAAGATTTCCTAAACTATACCCGGCATATTTTTTACTAGATGGAATATTGTTTTGTTTTTAATGATTTATGAAAGTAATATAACAGTGAGTTTAAACGTCTACTACACTGAATGTGTAATACACAATAGAAAGCTGAACAATATCATTGGGTTTCCAATTGTATTTGTGCTATGAAAGATACATATAAAAAAACATTTAAAACATAAATAATAATATGCATAATATTTAGTTGACCACTGATGGATACCAAGGTATAAAAACTTTTTAAAAAATCCAAATTTTACATTTTATAAATGAGTTTGTAAAAATAAAATAAAAAGTAATCAAACAGGTAGGTAGACTAAGGGTCTGTTAGTACTAATTCTTGCAAATGTTATAACAATTGGCTGGAAATAATACATAACTGACAAGCTACATATGCATCAATAATTTAAAAAAATTACATGAAAATTAAATAATTTGTTTAAAAAATATTAGTTAAAACATATATCAAGCATAAAACATTTCCCTCAGTTCCTTTGCATAAATTTAAAAAAAGAAATAATTATTTTTAATTTTAAAAAACAATAAATCCTTTTCTTAAACACGAAATAGTATAAGATATGGAATACTCTGCAAGTTAACAATAATTAATATTAACAATTATAGTAACATAACAAAATATATAAATATAAATAATTACAAAACAAATCATACTGTGATGAAAAATGCACAATTAAATAACATAAAAATACATAGTAAATACTTGTATGGTAAATATATGGCGTAGGATTTGCTTGGTTGGCAAACCCATTTCAAAAGGTTTGGACTTCATAAACTATACATGCTAATTAATTTTCTTCCGAGACCTAACACTGGAATTTCCTTATATTTTTATATATATTTTCCCACTTTTCTTAAAAGATATACATAGTCCATCTTTTTATACATTTGTATAAATATTTATATGATATATTTACAAGTACATTAACAGATTGAGCCAGGAAAAGGCCACAAAGAGAAAACAAATTCGTAAAACAAAATTGCAATGTTCTAGCTACTAAGGCGAGAGAGCCTGAAAATATCACAGTAGCCTCTTCTGCACTGTTGTCCACTAATAAATATTAACTTAACCTAGTTCCTAACTTAGATAGGACAGCTACACCTTTCTCATCATATTCCTGTTTTGTTATCCAAAACTTTTCTTTGTTCTTCATCACTTCAGCAAGGACAGCTCCTCCAATAAATACCATATCCTTCCTGTGAGGTGGGTCTTCAACTCTGATCTTGAATTTCTAATAAAATAAAGTAAAAAAATTAGAGGAGTAAATACATCGGTGAATTACTTTTAATTATTCTGAGATAAGTGTGATCTTAAAGAATGGGGCTGCTAAGTGGGTATGACACTGACTTCCAATGCTCAATGCCTTGTTTCAAATCTGGCTGATGACAGGTAATTAATTATTCTGCTGTATCGCCCATGGATCGACCTTAAGGCTGACCCTCCCCAGAGACTCTTCTGGATCACACTTAGCTTCTATAAAGCTGGCACTCTTAATTAATTAAGGAGAAAAACATGGCGGTTGAGTGTGATCTTAGTCAGATCACCCCCTTGCCTAAGTATAGACCAAGAAACAGTACTTCCTAAATAGTACTGAAACCTAGACTATTATTGGTTGTAGTGGTAGAACTTATTATTATTAAGTATGATTTTAAATAATCATAATTTAAAAATTATACCACAAATTTAATAAAGTAAATGTCATTTAAAATTTTTATATCTAGACCCAACAAATCGATAATTTTAATTGAGTAGAGTATATCAAGAATAACAAAATGAGCTAAAAACTGAAATATGTAACTTTCTTTTCTTAAACAGAAAGCTTCACCCTTGTCTTCTATAGCATATATCCTGTATGTATATATGTATAGTATGTATCTATAGTACATATCCTATAGGTTAGGATACAAACCTAATGGACAAAATTGTCAAGTTATAACCAGAAAGGATCATCTTATGACAATAACCGGATTAATATTATCAATCTAGCTAGGGTTTAAGTTTTAAAATTTAACAACCAACATTACACCCTGCTATCAATAGTTTGGGCAAGTCTGTTGAATCGATTATACCTTAAGGTCAGATAGTTCTTTAAGACTAGACCCATAGACAGACATCCTCATAGCAGGAGTATGAGGGAAACTCAAACTACTCTTGGTGCACTTGGTCTTGGAAAGAGGATGTACCATTCTAGAAATGAGAAGACTTACAATGGACAGATACCAATGAGTTAGAATCAAAACTACATTCTTAATAGCACCCATGAGTTAGAGGAAAAAGAAAACACAAGTAGAGTAGATATTGGAATTGTATCCAATGCCTTATTTCATAATCTGCTCATTACATACATAAAAGGGAGATTTTGAGAGGATATGTTTATACATACCGAAATTTTATCTATGTCATTTTTTAGAACCCTCTCAATGTATAATTGTTTTATTTCTCTCTCTAATCGACTAGGTAGACCTGGATACATAGTAGAGCCACCTGACAGAACTATATGCTTATATAACTCAGTTCTCATATCTATATCTGCAGCTTGAATTGTATTAAATACCATTTCAGCAATCCCTTTAACAAACACAAAATAAACACATAAGTACAAAAAAAAAAAAAAAAAAAAAAAAGAAAAGAATGACATAATTCAAATATGAATAAAAATCACTAAATAAAAATAAAATACGACATTTATGAAGTCTAAATTCCTAAAAGAAATACCATTAGTGTTTTTTTAAGCTTATCAACTATAGCCAGGTGTTCCTAATCAAAAAGCTTTAATGCACCCATGCAAATGTTTCAAAAATTAGTGATTAAATTCAACATGATTTTTTTTCTTTCTTGGATTGAGATAAGACATTATAAGAGCACGCCAATTAAAATAAAAAGATGTCTTCCTGAGCACTTTATTCTGTATAATTTGATTGGTATTAACCATTAGATGGACCTTATTTAGGCTGATTCTAATATAATAATTTAAAATATGAAGATATATTCCACTGCAATCTAGTACACAGATTGGGGTATTTCTTTTTTTTTATTTTTAACTATACTGTCATATTAAAAAAATTACTGCAATCTGATAAGAAATTTTTAGATGGTTAATAACATTAAAAAGTTTTGAATTGAAATTTTCAATAATTATTTGCTTTCTGTATACAACACTTAGTCACATAATGTACAGCAACCATACCTTGTCCTTCAACATTTATGAGATGTGGCTGGAAGAGTGCTTCGGGAGCTTCAAATCTCTCACCACTTACTCTAATAACTCTTCCATCAGGAAGCTGAAAATTTTAAATAATATTAAAAGCACTGAAGACTACTGAAAAATCAGTTGGATATTATTTTTAAATTGATATGTCATAAATGTTGGTATTATTGTATTAGACAATGCTATGCTAAGTTTCAAGAAATATTTCTAGTTTTGTAATTACAAAACTTACGACTTTTTCCCATCTTTCTACTAACAGCCTAATAAATACCATCTTCATAGAATGTCTGGAGTTTATTGTTAAAAAACTGATTTAAGTGTTTTTTTACATCCTCTTCCCATATGACCAATGAGGTGAGGTGCCTAGTGTTGGTGGAACACAACGTCCTTCCGATTTACCTATTCTGGGAGTTCATTTTTAATTGATTGATCCAATTTTGTTAATTGTGAGAAGTATAGATTTTGTTAAGAGCTCATATCCCACCATATGGAAAGCATCTTTGAGTTTGGATGCAAATTATCGTAAATATATATTTTTCATCTCCTGTAACGAATCTTTTCAAAAATGGGGTGTTTTGTTGCCATTTCCATAGTGAATCACAAACAGAAAAGCGTGTTGCCAAGTTGACTTCGGTTAGAAAGTGAGAAACCCAAACATTAAAACTGAAAACATAACCAAGCTTGTACAAATGGTTTTCTATGCTTATGTGAGACACATTTAGGGCCATAGCAATCTCTCACACTGATTGGGTGGTAATTTGATCAACAATGGCCTTAACATTGCTCGTTTCAATTTCATGTGGGCGACCAATTTGGCAAACCAATTTTGACAGGTGCGTTTGGTTAAGTAATCATCTCCAGCAACACTGCAGATTTGTTTAAAAGCTTCTGCAACACGCTTACCATTTTTAAAATAATACAACAAAATATGCCGATAATGAATGATATTTTCTTCTATATTCACAGTGCAATAGCAAACATAATACTAAGCTAGTTTAAACAAGAGTTAACAGATATAATTGTTGACATATTACAAACAGAATAAACAATCCACCTTAGGGATTAATTCATCAGATAAGAAATGAATCATAGTGACATCATTATATAAATAGGCAAACACAGAACGGTTCAGCCCCTTTTAATCCTCTATTTTCCAACCGATTTTCTTTCTTCTTTTTTTGTTAAATAGATATTGATGAGCTTTAGTGTTATCAATAAATAAAAATATTAAATGGTATGTAAATACAACTATAAATGGTAGTTTGTTCAAAACGGCTAATCTCCGAAAGTTCTTCACCAATTGCTTTTAAATTTTTACACAACAGCGCAATAATATTTAGAAGTGTTTTGGTATACGTTTCATTATCATCAGGTCTTTCCTTTCGATATGGAAGCCGAAAAATGTGATTCACTTTAGAGTGTAGCACCAATACGGCTTCAACGATTTCAATGAAACTTGGCTAAAGTCTTCCCCTTGAAACCTTTATAATTTATATATATAACATACTTTTCCGAAAACAAACTGAATGAATTTTTATGATGAATTCAGTATTTTATTTGTGAATAACTCAAAAAATTACACATTTTTTTATTGATAATACCAATATTTATTTGAAAGCTTCCTTGATTTCCTACAAAGTGATTAAAAAAATCATTGAAATCAGACTATTGCAGAGATATATCATTTTGAACATTTAGTACATTTTATGTTGCAAAGTTGATTTCCATTATTTTGTTTTTTGATAAACCAAAAATTTTACATCTAATGAAGTAATCTGGACTATTATTTGAAAATATGATATCATTGAATGTAATTGGAATGTTCTAAGAAATTCTATAGTTGGGCTCATTCTTAACTTAAATACTGCACAAGCATTAGTTAATGAAACACAAATGAGAGTGAAGTACTAATGGGGGCTACTTTAAATTAAAGAATTTTAATTCCAAGAAATTATTTAACATTTTCTGACACAATAATTACATTTGACTTTCAAAGAACAACGTTCCTATTAGGGGGCGGGGTGGCCGAATAGGCTAAAGTGTGTATAACAGCACCGCTAGTTGCCTGGCAACCGGATAACAGAGATTTGAGATGATATAAAAAAGTACGAGTTCGCGTCCCGGTGCCGGAGGGGATTTTAAATTTCCCCGCCCTCACCCCCCGGCCCGGGAAAATCCCGTATAGCCTAAAAGGCGAGGTAGGGAAGAACGAAAAAAAAAAAAAAAAAAAAAAAACACGTTCCTATTAATAGTTGCATTTGCTATGACCATAATCAAAGCGCAGGATCAAAGTTTTGGAAAAATGTGTGTATTATTGCGACATCCAGTAATTTCGCATGGACTATTATATGTGGCAGCAAGTAGAGTAAAATATGGGCAATGGCAATGGGCAAGGCTATGCACTAAATAATAACAGAACATTCAAAAAGAACGTTGTTTACAGAGAAGTTCTGAATAAAAATGGATTTAAAGTGAATTGAAATTGCTAATTTAAGTATATTTTTTACTTGCTTAATCATAACATTAATTTATTGTGATAATAACACACATAAATTAAAATGGAAATTAAATATTTTTTAATGAGTCTATTGTACATTTGTATTACTAATAATTTTAAGTAGTTTAATTTCGATTTTTAATTCAAATTGAAATTTTGTTTATATTAATAAATGGAGATTTTTGAATCGTGATTCACTCTTTATTTATTTTTTATTTAATTATATGTTTTCCTCAAATTTTTAATAGCTATGGTCGAATTACGACCACTGGGCGAACACTGCGAAAAATAAATAGAAAAACCAAAAGGACTTATTTGCCAACCCAATAAATAAATAGAACAATTTTATCCTATTTTTTAATAAAAAGATGGTTGAATAAATAGCATCCAATACAGGTTCCAAAAGTACACCATTGTAAAGTAGACAAAATGTTTTTGAGACAACAGTGATTAAATTTACTATGGTGGATGATAAAAGGGACTTGCAGGATGTCTAATAGTGAAAACCAACCTTTACGCTGAATTATTTCACGAATTGTAATTACAGAGATATGCTGTTCGGGTTTGAGTACTGTAACTCTAGCAGTACAGGGCCATATTAGACCTCCGGAAAGCCCCTTAGACTATGCCCTCAAAAAGTTTGATTAATTTTTTAAGCTGTTTTATATTAGATAGTATTGAATTTATATTTCATTCAACATGTCTCTTATTCAGCTGCTTTATTAACAGAATAAAATTAATCATTCTTATGTGCTTTATATTTTTTTTTTGTAATGCCTAACAAGTGACGAGTGTCCCTCTCCAGGTCAGCACTCCTGAGCAATTACCTGCTGGGCTGCCAGGCTCTAAAGCCCGGTAACACTGCACATAATAATAATAATAGTAATATACAATATAATTAATAACTAGGAATGCCTAAAATGATTAATAATTATACATACTGTATATGGCTCCACCAACACAGTTGTTTCTAACGCTAACTTTTGTTCTGTTTCTATATTATATCCAATATAACAGAGTTTTTCTTTCATAATCCTGACAGTTTCAAAGTCAGCCGAATGGTTGAAGGCATAACCTCGAAGAAGTAACAACTGGAAATATAAAAAAAAACACATAAATAAATGTGTGAATTAAAAATGACTAAAGTAGATGATTAAATCAGCAATTGAGTATGTTTACACAACACATGTATGTGCACTTCCCACCATGCGTTTTTCCCCATACCTTACAGAAAGATTATATAAGTAACAAACCAATTCTAGCTAAAGTGGGAAGGTTGAGATTCATTCCATAGGTCCACCACAAAATAAAACTCATCCCGCCCAGACCCCATTTGAATCTATGCCGCCATACTCGAATTTGCCAAGGTGAGGCCTTCATGGCATCGAAATAAGCTGTATTATTTAATATCTTAATTTCTAAAATCTACTTCTGATTATCAGGCTACTACTGTAATTGATAAATTCAATGTCTATGAAATAATACCTATATGAAAATTTACTACATACCTTAATAAGGTACCTAGTGATATCCCTACCAGCTATATCTAATCTTCTAGTTAAATGTGGAAGAGCAAATTCCTCATAGACTGGGCATATATGGGTGACACCATCTCCACTATCGACTACCACCCCAGACAACAGACCTTGAGCATAAAGAGTCAGCACTGCTTGAATGGCAATGTATGCTCCACTAAACTGGTATTTTTCGAACATTACCTGAAAACATAAATTATTCAATTTAACACATTAATTAAATTTCATAATAACATATGTGATTTCATACATATATGTAGTAATTAATATGATAATATAATGTAAAAAGTAGGGAAACAAGATAAATAATAATAAGAACAATTTAAAGCAAAATATGCTGAAATAAACAAAATTATAGAAAAGATAAAATTGATGCTTGCTTTCAATTAAAAAAAAAAATTTACTAAAACAGATATCACTGAAGATGATCGGTAAAACAATGCAGCACATGTAGAGCATCAATATTGTTTATACTAAAATAGTTATGATGTTAATTAATAGGGTGTATAAAAAAAAATGACCATTTTATCAAATTTAAGATTTCAAAAGACTAAATATATAAATCCTATATAATAGTTACCAATACTTCATAATCCCTTCAGAGCATTCTCTAAGCTTGTTTAATCCCATTCGACTTCTTCACAAAAAGCCTCAATTTAGTTATTTGTTTCAAAGAAGAAACATGACAGTGTTCCATAAAATTCTCGTAATTTTAAGGCATTACTGGAAAAAAAATCTCACTGGCTCTGAAGCAACTCGTGAAATTATTAAATATTAAGGAGATGTCCTTAACCAGCGCACTGCGCGATGTTGGTTCAAAAAATTTAGGTGGAGATACAACATTGGAAAGGAAGACAGGCTTTTAAGTCAAATCTGTCCACAAGTAGTCGTGAACTTATTATTTTTTTCATTTTAAATCCTGCTGTGCCTTGTAGGCAATATGGGTGTTTGCAATAGTCTGAGTATTAATTCTATTTTATATCAAAGAGTTAATAATACAAATATTTGGTTGAAAAACGTATATAAATTTTTTTATACACCCTATTATTTATGTAGTTTCTCATTTTTGAACTTGTTTATCACTCATTATTTTATTAAGCATAATGCACGATGGATTTCTGCAACTGAAGATCCTTTTGCCAGCAATCAGCATTCTTGCAGACCGCAACCTCACAATTGATGGGGTCAATGATTGTCTTGGCCACTCTGATTTGCTCTCACTGACTAGCAAATGACTATTATCAAACCAACACTGTAGTAGTTTCCTAAAGTCGGTAAACAGGGCTGCATGATCAAAACTTTTATCACTGAATCAATCTCATATTTTATCACTGAAAATTAATTATTTTGACACACATTTAAAAAATGTATTACGGGGTCTTATTGGCTCTTCAGATCATACCTCAATTTTTAAGGTAACAAAAAATTATTCATAATTAGCAGTTATTTTGGTGAACTATTATCTGAGTATAATTAAAAAACATAAAACTATACCTCTATCATCTTCTCACGATTCTTGATAGGGTTCATAGGAGGTTCTGTAAGCAGGATTTTACAATCTTGAGGATTTATATTCATCTTGTTAGGGCCGAAAGTGTAATCCCATACATGACACATATCATCCCAATTTCTGAAACAACATTTGAAATGGTGGTTTAATGGTTTGTGCATTGGATTTGTCTACTATATTTACATAATAGTACTATATACATTAAAATATCCGTAATAGTTTATAAAAACATATTCTAAGTTATAAAGTTCTTTTTACTTTCACTTAACGATATATAAAATATACAGTAAGGGAAATTATTGCAATAGTGCTAAATACCGAACCCGAGTTTTTGACATACGCTTGGAGGTTGGCTTAATAAAATAACAATTTTGTAAAATAGTGTATGTGTGTGAGCATGCTTGCTTATGTACATGCGTACTGTGTATGTGCGAACAGCCAAGCAGAAAACAAAAAGTTGTAGGAAACAGAAATAACATATAAGAAGTAAGTGTGTGCCTAAGATGTTACAGCAACTTATTTTTGTCAAAAATGCAAAACCGAATTACAAATATTCACCAAATGGGATTTGGTGGCAAATCTTAATGGTCATCCCCACATATATTATTACAGTAAGGCTCGAAATCGGTTTTGTACCAAATATAAGCTCCTGTCATGCTCAAATACCATGAATGGGGTACCATTCAGAATTTCATGGGGAGTTAGCGAATCGTATTCTCCACTTTTGTTTTTCTTTCTAAAATAAATAAAGTTGATACAAACATTTCCTTAGGCTTCAGTACTGGAACAGTGGTAGGTCAGTAGATCGATGAGGGACAAATTGGATCTTGAAGATTTTGATGCGTCCTCCGGAACTATCGGATCCTGTGTTTTTAAGCCCAAAAACGTACTATTTTCAAGATAACGCAAGGCATGGGATTCGCATCCACACAACCTGGTGTTAATTGTAGTACTGTCATTGGATACATGTCTCATTTTTTGAGGTCTCTATGATCGAGACAGGAGTAGTTTATATTATTTATCAATGGTGTTTTTGATCGGCAAGCCATATCATCGTTAATTCTTCACCAAATCTCAAGATTAAGCCATCCATTTCGAAAGCTTCCTTCTCCTTCAGGCGGGAAAAATAGTCCAATCATCTCAAAAGTTCAGGAAAACAAGTTATGAAAGAAAAGAAACTTTATTTGCGAATAACTAAAAAATTACACACTTTTCCCTGGGTTATTTCCATAATTATATAAAACATTACTAAATTATCTACAAAATGAAAAAAAAATCATTGAAATCGGACAATTTTTCGCAAAGATACAGCTTATCGAAATTTGTAAATATGTTGGTTCAAAAAACAAAAATGAAGATTTAAATTAATTTTGTTTCCTTTGTCGATTATATATATCGATAAAGTAACAATTGATTCCTTTATCTTTTGATACATTGCATTATTTTATTTTCTTATTAATTTGGCATTTGATAACAATATGCTGTGCGAATTTTTCGCATGGGCCAACAAAGTTTGTATTAATAAAGAAATAAAAAATACAAATACAATTTTCTAGAAAACTGCTCCAAGGATTTTGATTAAATTTTCTTTACCAACGTAAAATCAAGTGATTTCCTTTGAAGTACCTTTAATTTTTAGTTTTTTTAAATTAATAACCATTTCACATTGCTAATATAAATTAAAAATGGCTAAATAAAATCTATGAAAATTATTTGATAATTAATTAAAGGAAAAACAAGGATTATTAAAAGGGAACTGAGAACTAACAAAGGCCCTTTACTTAGTAAAATGTTGGAATTTCATGATTTCTCACTAACATTCAAATTTGTAATATCATAAGTAATGTGCTGATTCCAAAAGTATATGTGTGAGCTTTTATAAGTTCACGGATCATGTAATATTAAATTATATAAATTATGGCCACATAAAACATTATATACATATATATAACCATAAAAATATCCACAATGATAAAAAAAGTGTTCCCAGTTTTATGGTATACTAGACTTTTTTTTTGCCACAGAATCCTTGTCAGACTAACCAAATTTTGCGATACTCTTGTCAGACTAAAAAAAAAACACCATGAAAATTGCAAGACACTTAATTTACCATTAAATTATAAGTGAAATAAAATCTTTAACTACATTAGTATAATCAAATATTTAGTTACAACTTAAGCACCAATCATTTGGTTAGTGATAAATTTTCATACTCTCACTACTATTTTTGTAAGCCAATTTTTTATCAAATTATCTTGTGATTCAAGTGGAAATCATAGAAGTGATGATAAACTTTGTTGTTAAGTGCATCATTAAATAAAATTATATGCTGATTCCAATGTCAGATTGAAAACTGCCCATTTCCAAATTTTTAAAAATAAAAAAAGGTGTTCAGATAATATTCAAACAAAGCCACTTTCGGAGTTCTCAACAAACATTAAAATTAAAAAAAAAAAAAAGTGTCTACACTCAGGACTAAGATGTTTTATTTATGCAATCCTTTCCAAAAATTTCATACAATAGTTTTTTGTTTAAAGTTTATCTTTAATTTAATATGAAACATGACACCCTGCAAACACTGATCTAGTGTAGCCCAAATGCGAGACCGAGACGAGTCTTGGTCTTGCCAACTCAGTCGCGATCATGATCTTGGTCTTGCGCATGAGTTTCGCAACAGTCTTACAGCTCGTTATTATATTATTACTATAGAGATATTACTGTAATTTTTTTAGATAGGAGAAACCTAACTAAACCCTAATGAAAAATTGAAGGAGTTAAATCCAAAAGAATATTGGATATACCAATCATTAACATATAGTACCTAAGATTTTCAAGTATTAGTAACTATTTTGCCTTAATTTTTATTAAAAAGATCGATTTTTTTTACCAGTCCTGGTCCTGGTCTTGCAACAGTTAGGTGGCCTTGGTATTGGTCTTGCAAAGTGCACTGATCAGAAACATTAACTGAACTTCTTACAAAACTATGATCTAAATTAAATTTTAAAATTAATGCCTGTATAAATTTAATTACCTGACAATACCATTCTCCATTGGGTAGTTAACTTCAAGCATAGAACGTAATTTACTAGCTTCATCTCCTACCATTAAATCCTTAAAAATAAATAACCATCAATTAAATATTAACTATTTTATTTAATACAAAAAAAAAATCAGATGGCATTCAAAATAATCAAGAAGCAATTTTGTACTTTAATAGATAACTTTTGTTTATGCAAACATTACCATTTGATTTAGGAAACATTAGCTATTATTCAGATGATTTAAGGATTTCCAACTTGCATGCTAGTCTAAAATGAATACTAGAAAAGAGAATATCTTCCTAATTCATGGAAGTATACACAATTTAGAAAATGTAGAACACGTAGTGGGAATTCATTTTAATAATTGATTCTGGCTTAAGGCAGAAACAAATCCCAACTACAAAACTAAAAGCAAACCAAATTAAACCTAGATAAAAAAATAAAAAATTAACTAACTTTAGTACCTTAGAATATAATCACCATTTCAATCATTAAGTGCATTATACGAAGCAAGCTAACATAAACAAGCAGATAAACGAATAATAAATAAAGTAACAAACTAAAAAATATACATATCATAGCAAAATAAAATTTTACCAATTTACCGCTGAACAAAATACACATAAAACAAATATTAAAATGCAAATAAAAATCAAGATCATGCACTGGAACTTAGTGCAGAATAACTTACAGGTAATTCCTATGTACCAGTCGCCAAGAGACGTAAACAGCATATGGAAGATAATGTAAGTTTTGTTAAAACAAAAAAATAAAATCAAGTAAATACTTATACTATGTGATCAGAGACTTTGTTAGGTAAAACAGATAGTGAATACAGGGAAATTTATGAATATAAAAACAAAAACAAAATTAATGGTTTAAAGATTTCTGTTCCAAACTAGTGATAAAACAGGAGACATAAAAAAACAAAATTTAAATTTATCAACATGCAGTTAATAGTTTACAGAAAAGATTTTATAGAGTCTTACAAGTGAATGGAAATGCTTACTCTCACAGTTAAGCCCTGTAAATGAAAATTATTTGTAGTAATAAATAATAACCTAATAAAAATGAAAACAAAATAAAATAAACAAAATAACTTAATACATTGATAAACATTTAAGCAGAAACACACAATAAACTACTATGTACAAGTGCTTCGAACATATTAGCTTAAATATGTGCCAACTGTGCATGTTCTTAAAAATATTTGCAAAGATTCAATTTACTTTTACTTTAAAAATGAAAATATTAATCACAAAACTAAATTACCAGTCTTTTATTATTTATTTTATCTAAATTTATAATTAATATTGTGAACAAAGAATAAATTCAAACATATATTTTGTAAATGGTTGATGTTTGTAAGAAGTAAGTAGTTATCTAGTTCAATCAAATAAATTTATAATTTCCAAACTCATGATTAGAAAAATTAGACTTAGTGAACTGAGAACTTTGATGCTGATACCACTTCCACTAGCTTCCTCCACATCACTGGTCAAATCATTATTCATTTAATGCGAGAGGAAGTCAAATGTAACAAAACTAAACAATACAATCATTCATTAATGTAGCAACCCAACGTATTTGGGCAGTATGGCTTATAAATAAACCATTTCTCTCTGGACTTTCCTCTCAATTTTTAAATTGAAAGAGAAAAGTTAAAATATATATTTATTTTAATCTCTCTATCTGTCAATCTTTTTAAAATATTTCCTTGACATCCTTCAATCCCTTAAAGTCTCTATTTTCTCTTTAAAAGAGAGGATAATTTTTTTTTCTGTTAACATTACAGAGTTTGCATATCTTTTGCCACCTTAACCAGCTTTCTCCACATCTATCCTTTGTTGTTTCATTCCAGTTATCTGAACGCACCTCTGCTGATGGCATTCGATTAATACATTTGGTTTTTGACCTTTTAACTGGTCTCTTGCCTACTACTGAGGCATTTATTGTTAACAGGATTCGTGATTGATCTGAGCTAAACGCACTGTCCATATTAACCTCTGTGCCTGTATATAATATCATTCATTCTATTCTATTCTATTCAGTTGTTAACAACGACAACTCGAAATCAAGTCTTGGCCTCCTGTACCAGCCTCCACCAATTGTTCTTATCCTGTGCAGCCACCATCCAGCTCCTCACTCCCAACATGGACCTGGCATCACCAGCCACACCGTCACTCCACCGAAGCTGAGATCTTTCTCTACGCCTTGTTCCGTTTATTACTTCTGTCATGATCTTTTTCAGAATGTGATTCTCAGCCATTCGAGCGACGTGCCCAGCCCATCTCAATCTATCAAGCTTCATGAAATGAACCACATCTGGTTCTTTAAACAAATCTTTGAGCTCCTGGTTTGTCCGACGTCTCCATAACTGGTCAACTTTCACAGCTCCAAAGATCTTATGCAAAATCTTGCTCTCAAAGACCATTAGATTCTGCTCGTCAGTTTTGGAGATAGTCCCATGTTTTTGAGCCATAAAGAAGTATTTTATACAATAGGATTTTGGTTCCTCTGGTTAAGGCACGGCTCCTAAAATATGGAATGATGCCATAATAACAACGATTGACACATAGCACTCCTCTTCGCTTAATTCAAGAATCTACAACATTATCATGAGTTATGAGGGATCCAAGATAAATAAATTCTGACACTTTTTCAATGGAGAATTATCTAATGGTAATCCTTTCCCCTGGTCTGGGATTTTCCTCAGTGACCATATATTTGGTTTTTGCAGCATTGACTTTAAGGCCCATTTTTCTTGCTGCTTCCACTAGTTTCAAGAATCCATCAGAGACTAGAACGTCTGGAAAGAGTGCTCAGCAATGTCGATATTATCTGCACATGCAAGAAGTTGCACAGTTCGGTTGAATACTGTTCCGCCCACTTGAATACCAGAATCTCTAAAGCTAAATCAAAGAGGAGACATGGCAGTGCATCTCCCTGCCTTAGTCTTTTTCCAGAAATGAATTCTGCCGATCTTGCTCCTCCAACTTGAACCATGCATCTCACTTCTATCATGGTGAGTTTTACCATTTTAATAAGCTTTTCAGGGATTCCAAGCTCTCTCATTGCCTCATAAAGCTGTTCCCTATGAACACTATCATACACTTCTTTAAAATCAACAAAAAGATGATGAGTTTAAGCTATTATTCATGTCCTTTTTCAAGCATGATGTGTAAGCAAAATATCTCGTCAATGGTAAATCATCCTTTCCGAAAACCACATTCCATTCGCCTCTTCTGTATATATATAATTCGGCACTGCTCCAGGTCTCACGCTGAACCTTGGTTATAAGCTTCGTTCTTCAAACGTGTTGCTCTCTTACACTTCTCATCATACCATGGAGATCTCGAATCCCTCTTTTGTGGCCAAAGCAGTTTAGTGGCTGTGTCTGATATAGCCTCTGAGTATGCAGTCCATGTGAGGTCGATATCGCTCTCCAGAACATCAATCTGCCGAATACATCTATCCTATTCTGATTCATATTGTGCAAAAATTATTGGATCCTTAAGCTTATTTAGGTCGTATCGCTTAGGTCTCTGTGCTGGTACGGAAATGAGCGATGCTTAAAAAGTGATCGGAATCCACATTCGCCCATCTGAATACTCTCAAGTTTAGGAGATTGTACATGTGCCTCCTATCGATAACGATATGATCGATTAGGTTCAGTGTTGACCCGTCAGATGTTTTCCATGTTCTCTTGTGGATTTTCTTATGAGGGAAAAGAGTATATTATAAGATCACGAGAGGTAGCAAAATTTATAAGCCTTATGACGTTGTCATTGCTTGACTTTTGCAGACTATGTTTACCTATAGTTAGGTGAAATATTCCCCTTGCCTACTTTTGCATTGAAGTCACCTGCGATGATTTTCATTTCATATTGTGGGCAGTCATCCACAGTTCTCTCCGAGAGTTCATAAAAAGCTTCTTTTTCACCTTCTTCCGAAACTTCCATGGGGGGTTGGACACTTAAAATGGTATAATTATAAAATGTTCCTTGGACCCTTACTACACAAATTCTTGGGCTTACAGCCCTGAACACTATTACTTGCTGTCGATATCTTCCTTTTACAACAAATCCTGTGCCATATTCATGAGTCCTCTCACTACCACTGTAATATATGGTGTGGCACGTACTTTTTTTCAATGATTTCCTGACCAGTCCATCGGATTTCCTGGATGGCAGTAATGTCTAAATGATATCTTTCAATCTGTTTTAAGAGCAATTTCAGTGCTCCTGGTCTGTAGAGAGTAAGCACATTCCAGTATTCTACGTTAAAGCTAAGCCTGGAGTTGGCGGGTTGTTTCCGTTTTTGACTATTAAGTTCCGAGGCTGTTTTAGGTTTCCTGATTTGTTTAATTTCAGGTAGTGGGGCCATCAACCCATACAACATACCCTAGCCTGCTGGTGGGGCTGCCACCTTTGAGCCTGCAGACAGACATTCCTTCCAGGGAGGGGCGGCTTCCTACGGAAGGTGATCCTAAGGTGTGTACTGTAGATGACCTAGTGTACAGTATAATGTGTTTGTATACTGTGAGTGTGATAGTGTGAGTATTCTCCTAACCTGGATGGTCAGTGGTTGACTGCGGTACTAAGACCGGGCGATGAGGTCACCACAATCCTACCCCATTAATATCATTCATGGCAATTCTTTATTGGTTTTTCTCCTCCATGCAGAAGTACTCAGATCCCAAATAAATCCCAGTATCCTAAGGAGGATTTTTCTTTCAAACCTTTTAATAAGCATTTTAAGGGTACAGTACATGACTGTAGTGTACATGTCTCACAGCTGTACATCGAAAGTGGCATTGTACACCCTTAATCTGAGATTTTTCAGGATTTCATTACCTTTGGAAGAGGAGTTCTGTTAGCACATATTAAAGACTGATCTATTTCCTTACTCCTTAGCTCCATAATCCCTAGAAAATCCCTAAGTCTAGTGATTAAGATTACAAACAACCACCAATCCCTTGTCAAGCAATGCTGTCAAAACGTTTTCTTACCCAACAATGTTCCAAACAAAGTCCAATTAACAAAACTATACAAAAGAAATATTTACAAACAATATAAAAATTTAAATTATTATAATCTGGACATTAAAGAGTCCATACTATAAGAGAAAAATAACTATATTAATTTTTTTTTTAATCAACATATGTACATTTAAGTTAATAATTATGTATGATCACATTATTAATTTCTTAAAACAATTATAAAGATTGATAAGAAGTTGATAAACAGTTTTCAAAAAAACTGATGCCCAAATATGACTGAAATTTAAAAATGGCCCATATATCATATAACAGACCTGTTATATTTGGAAGCCTATCATAATTATAAGCTTGAGAGTGCACTCAGATGTTCTCTATAGTCCCAATTAATAAGTCCTTATTTTCCCTTAGTTAATAACCAAATTCTTTCGTAGTTTATATTTAACATTTAATGATTGCAATGTGAAATGTTTAATTATTTCAGATAAATATTATCAAGGGCACCATAGAGAAATAAATATTGAAAATTGGGCATTGTCGGCATGTCAGACAATTTCAATTCTAATATTAAACACCATTATACAATGAAATTGTAAATAATGAATTTAATCAAAATCTGTGGAGCCATATTTGAAAAAATCGTAAAAATGGTTATGTGAATCTAACTAGCATATTCTAAAACAACTATAAAGACTAAATAAGCTATAACTACACCCCATTAAGGGTGGGCTTGGATTAACTACATAGTAAGGACATTTCAAAATGTACGGTTGTACAAGGAGGTAATTTGGCCAAGATCATACTCAACCATTAGATTTTCTCCAAATTAAGAGCAAGCACATTGGCCTTGCTCACAATGCCACTCTGCACATTACCAGAGGTAAACAAATAGACAAAATAAACTAAAACTCCCATTGCTTGCTAGAGTAATCTTTTTTTTACTGGAGTAATCTTTTTTTTTACCAATTTATTCTTTTTTTATAGAGACAATTTAATTCAATATAAATACTTTTTACTTGCACCTTTAATGTCCATAAGGTTGCAAAAAGTAAAAACTCCATGTGTAAGAGAAAACCTCAGATGCACTTCTGGCATTCCAGTTTTTCTAGTGATTTTCCTTGATTAAATCTATAATACCTCCATAACTAAAGGTAAAAGTACTAATAAAATACGTCAACAGTGGATTGACAAATATCTTGAAATTTATTAATTGAATGAATGAATACTACTTGAACATAGACAAAATAAAATGTACCCTAATTTTTTTTTCAGCTTCATAAAAAATTAGGAACCATAATTATTAAATCAAAAAATGAAACTGGTTTATATTGCTGACTGCCAAAATATGTAAAGGATAACAGCAGAGAGGTTATACTTAAGTAAACATGAAGTACTAAAGATAAGCTAATATGAGTTTCAGAATATTAACTGATTAAAGTTTACCAATTTATGTCCATAAAATAATTATAAGTATAATCTAAGAACAAAAGGTGTTTGTTATTATATTAATATAATATATAATTATTATATTTATTATATAAATGTATAATATAGTTATTATATTATATATAATTTAATATTCAATCATGATAAATCCTTGAATGGATTTCATTAATTTAAATATTTAAATATTTAATTTCAAAATAAAAAGTTAAAAAGTAGCTTGAATAACAGGAATTTAACTTACTTTAAATAATTAATAATAGTTAGCATCCTACTGTATATTATATCAAAGTTAGGAAATGAAAAAATTATATTCAGTGCTCTGATTTAATGTTACATTTGTGAATAATTACATTAATATATCTATATAGTTGTAAAACAAAAAATTATTAGATATACAACTTATATAAAAAAATAAATTTAACTAACACAACTTTGAAGAGAGAAAATTAAACATTGAAAATTTGGTGATATGCAACAAAATACCAGTACCTCAGATGTAAAATATTGAAAGTAAACATTGTTCGATGGAGAGTCAACATTTTCTAGAATAATCATTCATAATAACAAAATTGGATATTTCCAAAGCATCCAACTGAACAGAAAGAAAAGGGTATTTATAAACTTATGTTACAAAAAGAACTTAATGCAATCCAATTTTTCAAATATTCATTGCAGTAGTTTATTTCTAAGGTACAGACATATGAAATACGGAGGAGGAGCATGAGCAACACCGCGCTACAACAGTTCATATTCGAACAAGAAATAATCTAACATGTACAGTGAACTTTTAATAAAAGCTTGGAGCAACTGAGCCTACACTAATCTTGTTGCACATAATAAAACAAATGCAGTGTTAAAATGATAGAATCTTACCTTCACTTCAATATCTCCTATTTTGTTGACAGCTCTGATAATGGGTCTTCCAACCATTGAAGGAAATATATGCTCAGGGAAATTTGATCCAGCATATCCACATTTAACAAACTAAAATAAAGGTATTTTGATGAAAAAAAAACAACTAAATTCTTAACTTGAAAATCAAGAAATTAATATGATAAAAGAAAGAGGTTATGATTCATTATGAGTCACTTATCAAATTTTGAAAAGTAGAGAATAATTTCATCAAAAATATTACACCTACCCCTGTACCATTATCGCAGACAATAACTTTCTTTCCCTCGCTATCCATTTTTTAAAAACTATTTACCTACTATAATTACCGGTAATAACCCCACCCCATAGAGACCTCCACTAAGTACTGGTTTCATTCATCAGCTGCAACACGCAACTCACCTATTTACATTTATCTACCCTAGAATGTCTGTTTTTATTAGAACTTTGTTTTTAATAATTTTAATTCTAAATTAGTTTATTTTATTTCTGTTTTTCTTCATTAAATCAATATCCACATAATTATGGAACCTAAAAATATCAAGAAATAACATAGAGAATAATTAGAAAATTCAAAAGGCATAGCTCCAATAACCAGTTCCACCAGCGTATTAGGTTCTCTTAACTGCTCCAATTCCAAACAGCTTCGATTTGCTTAATCGCTGCTAGGGTGTTGTTTTAAGTTACTGTGCTGGAATTGATTGGTCCGCAGCTCGCAACTTAATTACAATCGTTCTCCAACTTTGTTGACGAGACATCCTTGTAAGGCTAAAAAAAATTCGCAGCACTCTTGTGGAGCTAATGTGTCCCGGCACCCTTGTAGAACAAAAAAAACTATGATGGGTGCCTAAGAACCCCACGATGAAAGTGAAAACATCAACAAGGCGAGATCAATATTTTTTTTGTTCTATCTTCACTTACATTTTATACAAATACAAAATCAATCTTTTTGTTCTATACTCACAAAATAATAACTTTTACAACGTAATAAAACTTCTGTAATGAGGGTTAATGGGGGTATTGTCAGACGATTTCAATTATAATATTTAAAGACCATTTAATTCCACATTGATACAGAGGTGCCCAGAAATAGGTCTTATGGCGCAAGTTGCGCCATCAAAATTAATAAGGGAGGCGCATTTTGACGGGGTTTTCAATTTTTGATGGTGGCACATTTCTTCGTACATTTTTTAAATGAATTTTAAAAATGAAAAGTTTCAAATCAAAAGACAAGTGGAATCGTGGAACATCCACAGGATGTATCTATAATCCAAGAATATTCAAATTCTGCTTTCGTTGGCACTGTTTTTAAGAAGAAAGGAATAAAATATCTTGGGAGGTGTGGGAGAAGGTTTATGCGCCTGAGAGGGGCTGGGCACCTCTGCATTGATATAATGAATTTAATCAAAAATCGTTACAGAGGTTTTTGAAACTGTATAAACGTTTTTACAAAAAGGTTTTTTATAAAAAAAAAAAAAAGTTCAGTTTTTACATAAAACGATTATATAAATCTTAGTAAATAAGTTGCTTAACATCCCAGACACTTATTTATCCCTCATATTAGCTACTGCTATGGTTCACATCAGAGACTCTAGCCAGTGCTGATCTTAGATCTGGGCAATGACATCTCCCTCCCGCTAAAAAAATTAAATTTATTTCTTATCACAGTATTTGAATTTTAATATTTCTCTAATACAGCTGCTTTATTACTTACTTTCTGCCGGGCTCTATAGTCCGAGGTGAACCTTGGCCTCCATCACGATCTTTTTCCAATCCTCTCTATCCTTCATTCTTACCCTCCAATTTACCACTCTCATTCTCCTTATATCCTCTTCCACTTCACTTTTTCAACATTTTCTCGATCGTCCTCTTTTCCTTTTTCCAGGAAATTCCTCTCTAAGCATCTTTTTCGTCGCTTTGGCAGTCTTTCCACGTGACCTAGCCAAATAATTCTTCTAAGTTTAATAAAGCATATAATATCCTTGTGCTTCAATAGTTCATCCAGCTCCTGATTTTTCCTTATCCTCCACTCCCCTTGTATGAATAGGGGGCCAAAAATTCGTCTCATGATTTTTCTTTCTAAAATCCTTAGTGCCTTCTGGTCAGCATAGGTACATTTTGAGTTTCGTGATTCTGGATAGCAGTATCGATTTAAAAAGCTTTAACATACCAAAGTACACTCTATTGCCTGCCGTAATTCTTCCTCTTATTTCCAGGCTGATCAAGTTTTCGCTATTAACTTGAGTCCCAAGATACGTGGAACTTTCCACTGCTTCAAAAAAGTATTCCTGGAAAACAAAACTCTCCCGCTTCCTTCATGAATACGAGGTCGAAACTACCATTCACTTTGTTTGTTTTGTTTTGTTTTTTTGTGGCCAGATCCGGTCTCGCATACACTTCATAGTTCTTTACTAGAGCAAATTCCCCATTGTCCCTGTTCGCACACCGGGCCATAGATTCTGCGGAGAACCCTTCTCTCCCATGCGAGTAGCCTTTTTTCCGATGTTTTAGGGATCACCCAAGGCTCAGAGCCATAGGTGACGACGGGTCTGATGATTTTCTCATACACCGTCATCTTTGTTCTGTGAGAAAGAGATCCGTAATTCAATATTTTTCGCAATGTGAAACAGCACCTATTCCCGGCAGTCATCCTTGCTTTTAATCCTTCTACCATTTCATTGTTTTCTGTGATTAGTGCTCCCAAATATTTAAAATTTTCGGCCACTTTTAGGGTGAGGTTACCAATTGTGACGCGTTCGACTGTTTCACTTGGCTTTTTTGACGTTTGCATGTAAACAGTCTTCTGTTTATTTATTTGTATCCCTAGTTCTTTAGTTGCAGTTTCGAATTCTTCTAATGTCCCTGCTAATGATGTTTTATTTTTTTCCATTATCACATCATTAGCATATGCCAGATGCTGGGTCATTCTATTAGAAATCGTGCCACCAGGATATGTCCGGATCGCCCTTATTGCATACTCCAAAGCAATATTAAATATGAAAGGGGATAAAGGATCTCCTTGCCTAAGCCCATCATTCACCTCGAAATCCTCCGACAATTGGCCATTAATTATCACAAGTGATCTACTACCGCTTAGGGTCATTCTTGTCAAACTGACCAGTTTTTTGGGAATGACTAATTTTGTCATTGCCTTCAGTTATTCTTCTCTGCTTATACTATCATATGCCTGTTTAAAATCTATGAAATCTATTATGTAAGTCCATTTGGTATTCGTATGTTTTTTCTAACATTTGCCTTATCGAGAAAATGTGATCCATTGTTGATTTACCAGGTTTAAAACCACACTGGTATTTACCCAAAACCTTCTCGGACCAAAATTGAACTTTTTTATTCAACAGAACTGCTAATACTTTGTATACTGTATTTAACAATGAAATGCCTCTATAATTGTCGCAGTTTGTTTTTTCTCCTTTTTTGAAAACAGGGCATATGATAGCAGTAGTCCATTCTTTAGGCATTTGTTCCGTTATCCAGACTTCCATCATTAGGTTGTAGATTTCTCTTAACAAAGGCTCTCCGCAATTCTTTACCATCTCTGCATCTATACTATCCAGACCAGGACATCTATTATTCGTCAATGCGGCTATTACATCTAAAAAATCTTCATAATCTGGAGGTTCTACATCACTGTTGTTAACTTCCTCCTATCCTACTCAATGGCAGTTTCGCACTGCTCTGCTTGGGATTGGTTGTTCAACATTTAACAAATAATTAAAATACACTCTCCATATCTCTAAGATTTTTGATGGTTTGTTTGTTTGTTGACACTTTGTTTACGTGTCGTTAACTATTAATCCAACCCTCCTACATTCTACAATCAATGTCGATAGAAACTCAAACATTGCCGCTTTGTTTCTACCTATAATTGCAATGTCGTCAGCATATCCCAATATTTGTCCAGTTCGGCTCGCTAAATTACCATCTGGCGTGATCCCTTTAACAGCATTATGTAGCGCCAAGTTAAATGGAATTGCTGAATCCCTGCCTTACTCCAGAATTAAATTGGAAGATTTCCCTAATCTGATTGCCAATTAATACTTTAGCTTGTATGGTTAGCATAGTCGTTTCAATTATGTGGATTAGTTTATACGGGATATTATATTCACGCAATGCACTAAAACGTTTGGTTATTTTAATTCGGTCATAGGCTTGTTTAAAATCTATAAACAGTATATGCACATCAATATCATGCTCATAACACTTTACGAGCACGTGTCGTAAAATAATCTGATCGCTAGTACCTCTTTCAGGCCGAAAACCACACTGGTAATCCTTTATGATTCTTTCTCAATACATTTTTAGTCTTTGTACCATAAGGTTGGATAAAATTTTACATAAGACATTTAAAAGGGTTATTCCCCGGTAGTTTTCACATACCATTTTATCACCTTTTTTGAACATTGGGAAAATTAAATTTCTTGCTTAATTGTTGCTTTATTAAAGGGCTATAATCAATTGTTTTAATACGTTTTGTAATTTTTTTTAAATTTCTGACAAGTAGCGAGGGTTCCTGATGATCGGTGCCCACGACAGCGCCCCTCTAAGTCAGCTCCTAGAGGCAATCGTACCCTTGTGAAGTTAGCCCCTCCATCCTCAATTTTTATTTTAAATTTTATAGTTCTGATAGCCCCTCTTCACTACACAACTTCACAGTGATAGCAATCGACCTGGTTGCCCCACCAAAAGGCCGGCACTCACTCCAGCTCCAGGTAGAACTAATAAACGAAGGTCATGCCTAAACATAGGGATGGGCGATAGCCGATAGTACTATCGATAGTCATATCGATATTCCTAGAGACAATCGATTGTTCATATCCTCTCTTTGACACAAATTATTTTAAAATTTTATTCACTTAAAGGAATAATTTTAATAACACGTCTTAATACTTTTACCCATTCATTGGTGTACGAGATAGTGACAATATAATGACGTAAAAGTTGAATGTTTGATAATGGGAAATTGATTTTGTATAATGGAAACGCCGTATTAAGAAAATAAATGGATATACTTGTGAAGGCGTGTTTATATATATATATATAATGACGTATATATGTATATACATATATATATATATATATATATATATATATATATATATATATATATATATATATATATATATATATATACAACTGAAATAAAATTGAACAAGAAGAAGGTTTCATGGTAAAAAATAATTTTATTACAAATTGCTTTCTTAGAAATATTTTTACACCTCCAGTTGTGCCGATGGATAAAAAAGTTACATTTACTCACATTTTTATTTATTTTTTCATAAAAAAATATTTATAAAATTTACAAAGGTGCTATTACAGTTCTATTATATTTTAAATTCTATTATGGAAATGTCACTAAAAATTTAAGTTATTTTAATTCGGTCGTAGGCTTCTTTAAAATCTATAAACAGTGTATGCACATCAATATCATAACACTTTACGAGCATGTGTCGTGTCGTAAAATAAAAATCTGATCACTAGTACCTCTGTCAGGCCGAAAACCACACTGGTAATCCGTTATGATTCTTTCTGAATACATTTTTAGTCTTTGTACCAGAAGGTTGGATACAATTTTATATAGGACATTTAAAAGGGTTATTTACCGGTAGTTTTCACATATTGGTAGTTTCACATAAGTGATTAGTGGTGTCAGCATCGAACCTTCGGGTTCGCTAAGCCTTTTATTATTATTATCAAAATAAGATTAGAAAATGATGATCTTGGATCTTAATGATCTTGGAAATTAAAAGATTTAAGCATTTCTCGCCTCCTTTTTCTAGCTAAAAAAATACTACCCATATGCCGTCGATGTTTCTTGTTTGAATTCTACAATCAGGGAAATAAATGCAATTTATTTTTCTATATAAATGTATTTGCCCGTCAATAATTTTTTAAATTATTAATTTAATAATTTGTATTAGTGCCTTAACATAAATCTTTAAGGATATATTCAATATAAATGTTAAATATAATAAAGTTTATGCAGCATTTTTAAGTAAACTAGTGTAAAATGTTGTATGTAAAAATTCAGGTTTCTTTCAAGGAGAGAACAAAAACTTATTATTTTTTTTATGATAACTAAAGAATACAGCGAAAACAAATCTGTAAGTCTGTATCGGGAAGTTACTGAACTAGGGATAATATCGATAGTTTTTATCGAACTATCAATAGACGAAAACTATCGACTATCGTCTTCACTACATAAACAGCTCTGCTCCTAGCAGCTTATTATGCTGTTCGTTTTGAAGCAGTTCCTGATAGCTCCGTGTGCATATTAGGTTCCGTGGAGCGATTCCACCAATTCCGTACCATCCCTAATCCCTAGTTGTGACTTATTGTTTCAAAGATGGCGCAAAGGTTTCCTCCGTCGCAACCAACTCCGAGCCCAGTTCAGCAGCCTCAAAGATATCCTACGCCCTCAGGACCTCCACTCAGGCAATATGCAACCCCTACGTTTCCAGTGAGTTAAATTTAATTTTTCACAATATATCATAATTATACTCCTTTGAACCGTTATGTTAACCGGTGATAAGATGGTTATAGTTGTTTTGAAACAAAATTCTGAAATGTATCAACAATTTTTTAGATTAATTTAACATAATTTACATCATATAAATTTTTTCTTATCACAGTTAATAGAATTATTGTTCTTTGTGTGAATAATTGCTTTAACTTGTCTGATCAATATGATTGGAGGAAATTGTTCATATCCATAATTTAATTCACTTGGAGCATATTTTCAATAATCTCTCACAAACGATAAAGTAATGTTTTTTAATATTTTAAAGAACGTAATGTGTCGTTTAACTGTCACAAGCAAAAATTCAATTTGTTTTTAAGCTATTGATTTTATGTTGTGATTATGGTGTTATGAGTTTTTCTAACTAGCCTATACTTGGGTTGAATCCTCACTGCTACCTACACAAACTACTTAAAAAACAAATGGGATTTGAGTTTGATTAATTTGTGGTTGATAAGTCATGTTTTGTTGTACTTTGGTATTTGAATAACAAGATTAATTAAAGTTTTTTCTTCATCCCTCATAAATCCAAGTTTCAGAGTTAAGCAGTTATTAATTTGTTTTATATATCCACATGAAATAAACTGATTTCTTTCTATTTTTTTAACAGTAGCCCTTACATCCAATATACAGTTTTTGTAAAAGGTTCAAACCATTTGTAATTGTTGAACTTTATTTAAAGGTACATACTAATTTGCATGGTCTGCTTGACAGATGGTTTAACCATCCGTCAACCGGAGATGTTACTAGTGAACTAGTACCGCTACGAAATTTTATAGGTTTATCTTGGCCAAGTTAAAATAATCAAATGTTATACTGTATTTAAATGTTGACTTTTCTCTAATCCTAGCTCTTCATTTTCTTTATAGGTGTATAGATTGATTCATTTTATATTTAATGTACTCAATACTTATTGAGAAATAAAAAAATTTTGTCTTAAGATCAGTTGTCAGATTTATGGAATTAATCATGTAACGATGGATCTTCTGTTTTTGGGTGTTGTGTGACAAGTGTCTGAGTTGTTTAAAAATTGAACTTTTACAACCTTTTTCTAATTCAGTAGTGACCCAATTCAACAGATGTGTAATGTTTGAGACAAACATGTTATGCTGAAATCATTAACGTTGCGTACTGGGTTTTTTTTTCTTTTACATTTTATTTTATTTCTGTTGGGATTATTGAGTTCTGTTTGATCACCAATTGTGCATTAGTTGCAACAGAGGCCCGGTGGCTTTGTGCAGGGAGGTGGTATGGGAAGCGGGATGATGCCTCGTCCCCAGCAGCAACCGTACAACCCCATCAGACCTCCGATTCCTCAGTCCCAAAAAAGGCCTAGCGATGTCAGACCACCACAACAACAACCAAAAGGGTATGTTTATTATTAATACAGTTTATTAAAATTCATGAAATTAAGTGTTATAGTTGTCTATTAATTTATTGTCTTGTGTCTCATTTTTTTATTTATTCTGATTCTCTAAACTTATTTACATATTTATGTTCTTTATATATACATAAAACCATAATAATAACTTTAGAAATCATCGTTACAAATGCTAACTATTATTGAATATGAAAAATTTTCAAGCCTGCACTCTAGCAATTGCAGTTACAATTAAATATTTTTAAAGAGCGAATACAAAATACTCAAACATTCATAAAAGTACATATTAATGTAAAAAATAGTGGCTAAGGATTGCTCTAAAATTGATCAAATATAATTTTTATCTTCTGACTTCACTAATCACTCCTTTTATCTCCTGAGCAATGCAAGGTAACTGCTGTGGTCTACTTCAAAAATGGTAAAAACTATAGTAATATCCAAAATAATAATTGTATGAAAGCTTAACAATTGCTAAGTAAATAGTCATCTTATGCCTATATCTCAGTAAACAATATGTACTTCATCAGGATATCAATAAATACCAATGGGGTTCTGGCCAGCCGTAATTTAACAGATAATAGTTACATTTATTTAACTTTTCATACAAACATAACTTATAGTATTTCTGCCAATAAATTATAACATTAGAAAGAAGTCAGCTAACTTGGAGAAGGAACTATTAAAATTGACAATTTCGCTCTGATAGAAAGAAAACCCTTTAGGTCAAAGCCAATTCTGCTTGTTCAAGAGATAAAGAAAGGTTTAACTAGAAGTTTCTAATTTTTTATTAGTAAACATTTTCTATTATGGAATATTTATGAAATATATATTGATCATCGAATATCTAAAATTTGAATGAGAATTGAATATCTAAAACTATACGAATATTTTGATATTGTTTATAACATAAATCAGGAATTATTTAGAAATTATTTATGAGGATGATAAATTATCAGACTTTGCAGTCAAGATATGTTTTATTCGGTTTGTCAATATCATGTAAAATATAAAAAAATATAAAGTGATAAAAATCACATGCTTGGGTCAAAACAGCTAGTCTAACAAAACATATCTATCATCCTCATATTTTTAAAATAGTAGTTAACAGACATATCCATCTGGAAATTATTTAGTTATTCAATTTTTATTCGTAGTGTTTCGAGAATAAAAAATTAAAATATACTTATGAAATTCATTTATTTTACTTTTTTATTCTCAATTCCTGATTGTCAATTTTCTCTTGTTAAAATAATTATTTTCCTGTATTATTACCATTATATATATACATGAACTACTGTGTGCCAGCTTAGTTAATCAAAATGTTGCCTGACATGGTTTTGTCTAATCCTTTATAAAATAAGCATGTTATTAACATTTTCGAAATGCTTTATTTAACACTTAAAAGCTTAAGACCTTAACTAACTTCTAATTTTTTCTTGAAAGTAGAGAATGGGATTTGCTTGTTATATATTTTTTTAAATTATAACTAAAACTAACTGAAGAAAAAAAAAACAGTTAAAAATTACTATTAATAGAAAATTATTAAAAGATAAACATGCTATGACTCATTGGAGCTGAACGGTAACCATAAATGTCAATCCATCTGGAAAACTTTAGGCTATTACAGAAGTAATGCTTCCTGTTATGGTATCATATGCAGTTATTATAAATAATGCTTATGCACGAAATTTTCCTTAAGGGAGTATAAGGAAAACTGTTATAATTAAAATTCAATGGAGGTTAAACCATGGGGCGAAATTGTAATAATAAATGTATAATCGAGGTTGTGATGACTGAACGTGTTAAAGCGCAAACTATAACATTTTCAAGTCTAGTGATGCCACTTCGAATCCGGGTATGTTGAGATTTATTTCATGGCAGACCCATGGATACAATCTTGACCTTCCCACTCTGCATCTTATTCAAACCATATGTCATACGTGACATATGTTTCGCTCATGAGGATATTTTTCTTAAATCCAGTTGCACTATTCAGCCTAAAAGATACAAAACCTTTAAAATGAGCAGTTCGTATAATGAGAATGGCTGTATGATTCTGCATTATGTTACGTTATTTTTATAGTAAAAATGTTGGAGTGGACTTATGACCAGGTTTTATAATTGAGTTAAGTGATAAGGGACAGACCATCTCTGTACGACATTGATTTGCTTTTGTAAACTGTTTCTCTTGAGATTTACTGTCAGTTCTTTAAATATTGCCCATTACTTACAGGTCATATCATAACATACATGGAATTGAATTAATGGAAATAGAAATTCATTCTTTAGTTGTTGTTTTTTAACTACTATAACAAACACTCAAAGTAAAGTTGTAAAATAAGGTTACTTTCCTGGCACACCTAGTCAAAAAATATGTTACTACTATCCCAATTTTGTTCGAGTAACGACTTTGTAAGAGGGTCTTAACAATATATATTCAACTATATATTAAAAAAAAAAATATATATATATATAAAATAATAATTCTTGCATTGGTTTAAATTCTTAAGACTTGTTTTATTGTCATGCTCAATTGCTATTCATTTTCTGTTCCTTTTGAAATTTTCTTTACTTCCATTTAACCATTTTATCTTTTTTGTAGAATAATACTATTTACTAATATTTTCTAAATTGTATATATTTTTCCATATCTTTTTTTTATTTTTTTGCATATTTATGATTATTTTCTATTCTGTTATTAATGGTATTCTGTACTAATAATGAAAGTAACTTACCTGTTCCCAAAGTGTTAATGGCTTTTAATTTCATTCATTATTCAGGTGGTCAAGGATAACTGTTAGTGTGATTAGTACTCATGTAATATTTGTAAACAATGATTATAAATACTGGTTTCTCATAAACCTATAAAAGGCTTTTTTTTTTGTTATTTACAATTTACTAATAATATTAATATTAATCAATATTAATGTTCAAATGTTGATAGTTTACCCTTCATTTATAAAGCCTACTCAAAATATAAAACAAACGTTAGCTTTTACATTATTCCAACCTATGCCTGAGGAAATCATTTGATGCTTGATCTCCTTCTCTCTTATCTGTATTTATTTGACTAAGGGCAACCTCAACCATCCCTACTTTTATAGCCTTTCCTATTATTATTGCCCAAAATTACATAGACAATTTTAATGTTTAAATACAATACAATTTTAATAATTAATGCAGCCTTTCAGAAATGTTTAAGAAATTAATTACCCCTGTTAAACTGCTACTTGCGGGAACTAAATTTAAAGTAGTATATAATTAAAATATTTAAAACAGTTAAAAAAACAAAACAAAAAAAAAATTAAAAATAATTAATAAAATTTAAATTTTTCAGCTTACTTCAGATCAGAAAACTTTTGTTTTCATTAAATTCCATATTTCTATTTTATCTTTTACTGTACAAAGTTATATGGTAAATGTAGAAGTTATGTGGTTGGTCTTGAAAAACCAAAAATGAGCGAAGCTTATTGATTTTTATAGTAAATAATTTTGAGCAGAAGGAATTGTAAATGCTGAGTGGAAAAATAGAAAATCCTATTAAAAAAAAAGCATTTTCATTCTTTTTTCTGTATGAAGCCTATATTAGACTAAATACTTCATAAAAGAATTCCCTCAAGATATATTTATTTATACATTAGTATATAAGCATATGTTTTTTTATTTTTTATTTTCAACATTTTGCAAGTGTTTTTACTGAGGAGTTTTGTTTCATGTTGAAAAAATTGTTTTCCAATTTTTCCATTATGAATCCATCCAATTAATTCCAGGCTTTTTTAGGAGTATCCGTTGGTAAGGGTACTAAAAATTCCTATACTTTCCCAGCAGACATTCGAAAATTGTCTGTAGATAGGGCATCCATTACAAGAGGTTTAACTGTATCTAAGAAAATAAGAAATATTCCATTAACTTAGTTGTTATAATTTACTAAAGAATTAAAGGGAGAAATTGTTTTTTATAGATAATGTTAATGTTGGTTTCAATATAAATGAATCCATTGGGTACAAGATTCTTTCATAAGTATTTTATGTACTATAAATACTTTTGTGACTCCTTTTTAAAATTCAAACATTTTAAATCATCAGTTTATTCCTGAAATGATTCAATATTTTGTATTTATTTAATAGTTATTGACAATTTGGTGGATTGTTTTGCATGTAGAGCACAAAAGCATTATGGATTTTATAAACAGAAAAAAAAAGATGCAGTTGGCATTTATATTAATATCATATTTTACATTTTAATTTTGATATATATAATGGGGGGAAGGACAGATATGTCTGATGGAAATGCATGATGTAGTTAGTGGTGTTTGGGTTTGAATGCTAACGTAGCGGTGCAAATTGGTGCTGGCACACAGGGAGTTTCCTCATACATCCGCTGGTGGAAGTAGTGGCAAGAAGAAAAAGAAGCTGGCAGATAAGATCTTACCCCAGAAAGTACGAGACCTGGTGCCGGAGTCACAAGCATACATGGACTTATTGGCATTCGAGAGGAAATTAGATTCTACAATAATGAGAAAGAGGCTTGATATTCAGGTACCTTACTATCAATAATTTTAAGAAGTAATTACATATCTTAGTATTGAAACAAAGTAGTGGTTCTTAACTTAGTTCTTATGTTTAATAAATTCTAAATGTTGGTTGCACACTACCGTCTGACTACCTGGACTGTGAGAAACTAGGGCTAGCGCTTGGTAAAAATGTATAATAATTTTGTAATTAAAGGTGGCTCTTGTACTTTGATCAGGTTCTATTCCTTGAAAAATGGCTTAAGGCTTAAGTCAAGTTTAACTTACATCAAGTTTTTTTTTTTTTTTTTTCAATTTGCTCTACTACAGTCCTTAATGGACCTGGGCTTCAGAAACAAGCTTCTGCCAGGCTTCTCTATCGGCACCTATCCTTCTCCATCTTCTGATTCCCATGTGGATGAGGTCCTCCTCCACGTTGTTGATCCACCGCAGCCGGGGTATATTGAGTATTGTTCAATAAAAATGTGCTAATATGCATGATGCTGTATTTGATTAATTTGGTTTTCTTTTTAACTGTAATCGCGTATTGTTTCTGAAAAGCACAAAAAGGAAAATAACTTGTTTCACATGGGCTGGATGCAAATAAGTAAATAATTATACAATGCAAGAAAAGTAGAGGATTTAAAAAAAATTATATTAAATATTTAATAAAATGTGTGGAGTGTTCTCTCATAATGGATGTGAATGTTTCTCACTATTTAAAACATTACAATTTCACTAATTTCTTTGTTCTATAACTTTTTTTTAAATTTAATTTAATAGCTGTAAAGTTATAATTGGAAATCCAATGACAGAGCATTATGTATCTAAAATGCTAGTGAAGAACAAATAACTTGTAATATTTCACCAATTCAGTCAGCAGTACAGATGAAAAACAATCCCAAGATCACATCACACAGACATCCAGTTCCATTCTGAAAACAAACACTGTCCAAACCCAATCCCACCAGATCAGCCTTAATGCAACCTATCCATCTTTCTTCGATCTATCCCTTGGATGCTTACCGTTCGGCATGCATATTGACTTACTTTTTAAGAATTTTTTCGTTACTAATTCCAGCAATTTTACATGCAATTTTTTTTTGCCTTCAATGACATCATCTTACCTCTCTCCAGAGGCGTCCCACAAGGTTCCTCACTATCTCCCACCCTCTTTCCCATCTACATCAATGACCACCTTTCCTCTACCATGCACTGTCAATATGACCTATATGCCGATGACGTCCAAATTTATATTTCCTTCAACCTGACGGATTCTTCTAATGCCATCCTGAAACTGCAACAAGACATCAATAAAATATGCGCATGGGTGAATCTTAATAAGCTGACATTTAATACAGAGAAGATAAAAGCCTGATCGGATCCCCTCACTCCTCAAATCCATTTCAGCACCTCCTAATCTTCTTCTAAACAACTCACCTATCTCCTTCCATACCACCGTTAAAAACCTTGGCGTTACCCTCGATCAAACCCTCTCCTAGAAACCACACATCTCCCAAATTTCCTGCCGTACTATATCCACTCTGAAACAGTTTAACTATCTACGTTATCTTCTTCCTTTCAACATCCATCAACTCCTGGTCTCCTCTCTTGTTTTCCCCCACTTCAACTATGGCTGCATGGTGTATGGAGAACTCGAAGCTAAACTTAAACGTCTAATGAATTGCTCAACCCGCTTTATCTTCGAGATCTCAAGGGATACGCATATTACCCAGAACACTGAGTTAAAGTAGCTTTATCCAACCTGCCTATATTCTACAGATCTTACAATTCAGACGCTTCTTTAAATCCTGTCCCACCAGATCCCGTGCATCTGATCTCTATCCTCCTCCTCATCGAACTGCTGCGTTTGATAGACCCTTTTTAATTCAACTTGTCTCCCTCTGGAACTCTATACCCTCAGATATTCGACACGCGAAATCAATATCCTCTTTCAAATCGCTCCTCTTCAAACAGCTTCTCCATTCTCAATCCGATTGATCACAAAATGCACTTAAAAATATAAGCTGTAAGAATCTCAAAGTACACCCAGATACTTTGATTATTTTGTGATTCATTGATATTTTGTTTACTTAATTTACTTTCTCTGTTTATTTTATATTTATGCACGTTTTTATATATTTCTATTATCTATAATTTTATTGTATTCTTAATCACCCTGTAAATATTAAATTCTATTTTATGGACACATCAGAATATCAATACACCTTCTGTATTTGTAACTTGTTCTTAAGGAACACTAGTTCCAGAATAATAAAATTATTTTCATTCATTTATTCATTAATCTTTTATATTAAGTTTACACAATTCATTGTTGTGTAACCGCCTGAATTCTCTGATTGACTCATCCTTCTTCAGTCCGAATATTCTATGCAATACGTTATTTTCAAAAAGCTTAAGATGTTGCTTATTCCTTGATGAAAGTTGCCACGTTTTGCAACTATTAGCTCAACTTAATAGTTTTTACTCGTTTATATGAATTCATTTAATAACTTAGTTTTTCAATTGTATTTTTGAATTACTTATGTTAAAAAAATTTCTGAAGTACAAGAAAATTGTTAAAATCTTTTTGGGATTCTGCCTCCTATTTCTAGGTACAGTGATACAAAAGGTTAAGAACTACTGTAAAAGTTAAGAACCACTAATTAATTACTTTAGTAAAAAATGTTTTAATTGCTTTAATAAGCTTTATTCTGATGAACTAACAGCTAAATTGGCTAACCAATTCATTTATGTAGCTTATGATAATTAACTATATTAAATCAATAATATTTTGACATATTTTATTATAGGAAGCGTTGAAACGTCCCATGAAGCAAAAAAGGAAATTACGCATTTTTATTTCTAATACTTTCTATCCAGCTAAAGAGGCAACTGAGACGGAAGAAGGCAGTGTAGCATCCTGGGAGCTGAGAGTCGAGGGAAGACTGTTGGAAGATTCTAAAAATGATCCTAACAAGGTTTCTTGACATACAAATTTTAGAAATTAAATTGTTAAGATATATGTAATAACTGTTAAGGAATTACAACTTCAGGCAAAAATGGGGCTTTCCGAAAATCTCAGGAAAAATAATTGAAAACATAAATTCTTATTTACAAAAATAAAAATAATTACCTCCTTTAATTTATCTTCATTTGAGTCTATAGCTTTTCCCCTATCGTTCCTATAAGGTAGTTAGCACACTGAGAACATCTGGCAATTCTTCCTCATTATCTTCTAAGATTTTGAATCCATCTTCCTCTCATTGAATTTTTACTTTCACTTACGTATATATGTAATATATAGTAAGGGTAAGTATTGTGATCGTGAAAATTTTCGAATCTCAGTTTTCAACGGAAATACATGTTTTGAGGTCCCCTGAGTTCAAATAACCAAGTGTCGCAAAATGGTCTGTGTGTGTATGTCTGTCTGTGTGTGTTTGTTAGCAGTCTAGCTCATAAATGAAAAGTAGTAAGAAACTGATATTAAGTATTTAAGGTTTGTATATGGGCCGGATGTGACAGCAACTTTTTCGTTAAAATCGGCTAACCGGAAGTGCCATTTTATATGAAGGCTGAAACACATTTTTACAATTTTCTCAAAAACCAAAAAAAAAAATCGTTAAAACGGACAATTAGGAGGAAAGTGGTCTCTAGTATTTTTCCCTGAAGAGGTGAAAATTTGGATAAATTTAAAATATATTTTTTTAATTGTTGAGAATAAAAAAACCTTTTTTCTACAGATATTTAATAAAGTGTCTTTCCTAAGAAAGTAGTACCTATATTTATACTTTTATTCTCAGTTCTATATTTCAACACTGCAATCACCACCTCTTGAATCAAGTTACTCATTGTCTGCATAGATAACTTTTTCAACTAAAAATATCACTAAAATGACATCACTCAAAAATGTTGAAATTGGAGTTAGTCATTCTGTGGTTTATAAAAGCAGATAGAGTGAATAGATTTTTATTGCCTGTCGTTGATATATTAAATAGATATTTTGTAATTATAATGGTCTTAATGACTTGTTATCTGTAAGCTTTAGCTCAGTTTAAAATGAACTTCAGAAAATTTTATAATAGCCCAGCATTGCCAGAAAATAATTTCTATTCAAAGTAGATCAGTAAGTGACAGTTGTGTGTTGCGCACACCAGATTGTTTTCAACAATTGTGATTAATATTTACCATTGCTAACTATATTTTTTATCATTGTAAACATTTATTTAAAACCATATCCTTGTTCCATTCTTCAGCCATTTGCTGAGACTACAGGAACACTATAGCTGGGCCATAGGGCTTAAGAGGTTGATGTCCACTGTATGAAGCTTAGTTCGAAAGCTTCTGCACCCAGTTACAATGCTGTGAAGTAGTATTTGATTTAAGGAATTAAAAACTGTAATCTATACTAGATTTAAACCTCACTCGAATTGCCCTGACCTTCTTCCCCGTAAAACATACTTCCTCCACTGTTCTTCATTCTACTTCCATTTGGTCTAGAAGTGATAATGCCAGAATCGTTTGAGAACTATCTGATAAAAACATATTATGAATCTTATAATTTTTGTTTTAAATTGTTATATTTGGATAGCACTCAGCAAACAATTATGAACTAAAGATAATTGAAGTAGCCTCCACCGTTACAGGTAAAGAGGAAGTTTTCCTCTTTCTTCAAAAGTCTTGTTATTGAGTTGGATAAAGAACTATACGGGCCAGATAATCACCTCGTTGAATGGCACAGAACCCCTACCACACAAGAAACAGATGGTTTTCAGGTACGTTTAGAATAAGATTGTTTTAGTCGTAAGTGAAACAAACTATTTTTTTAATTGTAATGACAAACTAATGGTCATAGAAATCATTGAAGGTATCTGTGGCAGTTGACATGCTGGCAACTGACGTAATAAATTTTATTACTTTTGTTATTATTTTGATGCACACAGTTAATATTCAAATTTCATTCCAACTTGAAGTAGTTGTTTTTTCTCAAATCACTAGTGAATACTTATATTATCTTCATGAATTGCATCAGAGTATGTATCATAATCATTGATTCTACCACTAATAATCTGTGAAATGCTTTTCTTTAGTTTGGACCAAGCACTCATGATTCTCAATTTGAAGCTATTGATATTATTTCATTAACATTCAAAAATAGATAAGGTAGGGTACTCTATAAAAAAAAAAAATGTTTAATTTAATTTACACGTTTTATGCTTATGAGTACAAAAATAATTTTAAAAAAAAATAATTTTGTTCTACATCATACTGTACTTATCTCTAAGGATCTATCATTTTCTTAAACTATTGGACAGTTTTTTTTTTATTAATTATAAGGTTATTTAGCATTTAATAAGTTATTAAGATTTGTGCGATACAAATAAAAGAATAACTAAGAAATGAAAGATTTTTATTATGTGCATTATTTACTACTTTTCCTTATTTTTTTTTAGGTCAAAAGACCAGGTGATAAAAATGTTAGATGTACCATACTGCTCCTTTTAGATTATCAGCCTTTACAGTTCAAACTTGATACCCGACTTGCTCGTCTTCTAGGAGTTCACACTCAAACAAGACCTGTTATTATAAGTGCGCTTTGGCAATATATTAAGACTCATAAATTGCAAGTGTGTAAAAAAACTTTTATTTAAATGTTTCTGAATTTCTATATTTTTAATGCTCTCTGTGGATTAACTCATAATTATTAATATTATTTTTAGGATCCGCATGAAAGAGAGTATATAAATTGTGACAAATATCTTGAGCAAACCTTCAGTTGTCCAAGGATGAAGTTTGCTGAAATACCGCAGCGTCTCAACCCTCTTCTTCATCCTCCAGATCCTATAGTCATTAACCATATTATCAGGTACTCATTCATGTTGATGTTGAGTTGTTTTATTAGTCTTAGTAATATTAAAATAATAAGATGGCCTAAACTTTTTTTTTAATTGCGGAATAAAGGATAACCACCTATTAATTATAGATTTTATGATCATTTAAATTTAATGTATTATTGTTTGTTTCTGTAATAACTAATTTAATTTATTATTAAAATCAGTTATTTTTTTGTAGTTGAATATTTGAATGGGGCTTGGTATCCATGTTTTTTACAGGCGTTCCTCGCCGTTAAGGCTATATGGGGTTTTCCCGGGCGCGGGGATTTAAAAGACGCCTTGGCACCGGTACGCGAACTCGTGACTATTTTTATAACACATTTGTCATATATCAGGTTGCCCGGCAATGGTGGTGCTGTGCACAAGCGTTAGTCCATTCGGCCCCCCTGCCCACTAACAATTCCTTACTTGAATGCCTCAATAATTTTCTTCACTGGTTTTGCTGTGTGTGGTGGTTCATTAAAAAAGTGACTTTATGTTATCTTTTTTAGTTCTCTTCCTCTACTATTTTATTTAGTCAGCACGACAACTCGATATTGAGTCTTGGCCCCCTGTGCGAACCTCCAACAATTGTTCCTATCCTGTGCAGCCGCCATTCAGCTCATCACTCCCAAAATGGATCTGTATCACCAGCCTTATCGTCACTCCACCAAAGCCGAGGTCTTCCTCTACGCCTTGTTCCGTGATTACTTCTATAATGATTTTTTTTTTGGAATGTCATTCTCAGCCATTCGAGCTACGTGCCCAGCCCATCTTAATCTATTCAGCTTCATGAAATGAACCACATCTAATTCTTTAAACAAATCTTTGAGCTCCTGGTTTGTCTGTCGTCTCAATAACTGGTCAACTTTCACAGCTCCACAGATTTTATGCAAAATCTTCCTCTCAAAGACCATTAGATTCTGCTCGTCAGTTTTGGAGATAGTCCATGTTTCTGAGCCATAAAGGAGTATCGGTCGGATAATTGTTTTATACAGTAGAATTTTTGTTCCTCTGGTTAAGATACAGCTCCTAAAATATGGACTGAGGCCATAATAACAACGATTGACACATAGCACTCTTTGCTTAATTTCAGAATCTACAATATTATCATGAGTTATGAGGGATCCGAGGTAAATAAATTCCGACATATTTTCAAGGGAGAATTCTCCGATAGTAATTCTTTTGCCTGGGATTTTCCTCAGTGACCATATATTTGGTTTTTGCAGCGTTGACTTTAAGGCCCATTTTCTTGCTGCTTCCACTAGTTTCAAGAATCTAACAGAGACTAGAACACCTGGAAAGAGCGTCCAGCAATTTTGATATCATCTGCATAAGCAAGAAGTTGCACAGTCTGGCTGAATACTGTTACTCTGTGGATACTCTTTCTCTACTAGGTAAAGAAGAAAGTATTGCGATATGTGGTTTTTGACGGATCATTACGTTTCAGAGCCCCTAAATTCGAACAACACATTTTCAGCCATTAGCCTGTCTGTTTGTGCCAAGATTATCTCGGAAATTAGTGGACCGATTTTTTTATTTTTTGTAAGATTTTAACTACTGATGCCTGTGACACAAATTGGGTGGGTGCCCCTGGGCAATAAGTGAAAAACATATTTTTTTCTATAGACTAATGATTTTGATGAAACTTTCCTACGATTTTCTAATTAATGTCCTTTCAATTTTAAATGTACTAAATTCCTGAGAAAATTCAGGGGAATAAAGGTATAAAGAAAAGAAAAATGTTTTTGGGTCTAAGTCGCTAAGAATATATCCTATAGTAAAATTTATGTAAAACCTTTTGAAAGACAATTAAATTATCAAAAAAAAATTCATTGGAATTAAACTAGTATTAGTGATGATATAGCATATTCTATTTTCACATTTTTAGCCTGTTTTTTTACAGGTAATGAAATTCTCTACAAATCTATTTCAAATACATTTCTAGAACTTTTGCAGCTAAAAATAAATAATATAAAACAAAAATATTTGAATTAAAAAAAAACCGACTACAGAAATTGGAAAATTCTTTCGACCAGAAGAGAGTGTACTTCCATATCTACTTAAACATCTTGGTAGATTGATACAGAAATTCACATCTACGAGTATTTAAACTTGGTGTAATATTTGAGTGCCTTTCACTACATATTATGGCTTCAGGCAAATAGATTTCGTCCCATCTATCGGTGCAAGTAAATATCCGAAACTTTTGAGTTCTGTTCGAGGGTGGTAGGTACCGGACTATCACACCTAGTTTGAATATTATTAAATTTTCATCCGTTAAAATATTAGTCAATTTTCCTATCAATCCACCAAGATGTTTAACTGAATATGGAAGTAAATTCCCTTAGAATAGATAGAATTTCTCAATTTCTGTAATAACGAAACTTAGCCTGTATAACATTTCACATTCGTTACTTTAACATGGTACTTACAATATAATAATATAATATCATTTCAAATAAATTAATAACCAAGATACTTAAATTATAATAAAGATGTTTTTAGTATTTTATAACGGGCCAGTATTTTTAGCTCAAATTGTTTTCAAATTCTCAAAGGATCTCACCGAATAATATGAGCCATCAAATTTAAAAAACGATCCAGCCATTCGCTCCAAAAAGCGCTAAGTGCTTTAAGTAGACGTCCCAAACACATTTCGCTTCGCTTGGTTGGGTAAAAAATGAAAAAAAAATCTTCGATTTTGTAGTTTGATCTTTTTTGGAAATTTTAAAGGGATATTCTTAGCATAAACACAATACTTATGATAGATTCTGTACCAGATCTCAATAAAATATACATTTTGAAATTGACATTTTTTCTCTTTTAATTCTCTCACATTTCTTTTAAAATAAAAATTATCAGCTGAAATACACAAAATATTACATTTATAGCTTGTAAAACAATTGTTATTGTTACAAGAAAAATTGGTATTAAATTTGCTCTATTTCATTCAGTCTGTTATGTTTTCTCCTGAATCATTTTATTATTCTAATTTTATATTTATGTAATTTTAGTGTTGAAGGTACCGAACAGAAACAAACAGCTTGTTACGACATCGATGTAGAAGTAGACGACACATTAAAAACACAGATGAACAACTTCCTCTTATCAACAGCCAGTCAGCAAGAAATACAGGTGAGATCATATCATATTTATTTATACCTTAGCATCTACAATGCTATTTCAGAAAAGTCGGAGAATTTTTTTAGTATGTAAATATTTTTTTCAATTTGGAAATAAATATATAGTACATATCTTTTGTAATGACCGCAGTTGCTATATTCAATCACCTGTCAATAGCCACACTCGTCATTATATTGAAATAAAACAAGGATAAAGAATGAAATTTAATCAAAATGGATTTAAAACAGTGTTGGTTTGTTTTTTTAAAGAAAAGCATTCCAATGCTATTTACTATTTGTAATATCTATATCTATGGACATAGTTATTTATTTTTATAAAGTTGTTTGTTGGGGTTTTAGGCGTAAAACATCGAGGTCATCAAAGCCTCTGATTTTTATAAAGTAATGAACTCTGTATAAACGATAATTCTGTAGATTAATGTCCATTAAAACATTTTTCGATCTAAGAATATAGATTCTGGTCAAATATCAATTTGTTAAAAAATTGTGTTGAATATGTCAGCATCATGATAATTCTCATGAACTGTCGGCTGAACTTAATTCCATTCTTTGGTTAACTGAAGGGAAATGCTTACAGCTTCACAGCTACTTTTGTTTTAAAAATTGTATTGTGTTGGGAGCAGAATCTTTGTATTTATCCTCACAAAATATTTTGAGTTTCGTCAAATAGATCGCGATTTGATTTTTAAATAGTTGTTAGTCTTATCGAGTAAAATCTCTCTTCCCTAATCTGTTAAAATCCCTGATAGCGGAATATTTTGTTGTTTGTAGATTATTTGTATTTAAAAGATTCACCACATTCAGCATGCTGTCTCGAATAGATTTGCAATTTTTCAGATTTTTGAAAGACATACATAGGTTTGATTCTTGAGCCAGGCTACTATTGGACTCTTCCTTCTCTAGTCAGCAGCATACTTATGAGAAATTACATTAATATTAGAATCCCTGTAGCTCACTTAATTTTATTATAGAGGTAATCAGAGATTTAATTTAATCAGAGATAAAATAAAGGTGATAAAAATAAATTAAAAGTTCAGTTTTTTTTTATTTAATGAAATTTACAACTGTATACAAATACAACTAGTAAATATGCACAAATTAGAAATAATGACATGAACAGGCTTGAATAGATACTACCCAGTGGTAGCACTCCCTAAATAATTTTAGGTAAGATCACGAGGCCATCTCCTTTTCAGACTCCTAGAAGGATTATCAGGAATCGAGGAAGAAGCAAGGGTGGAAACAAGGGGATTTGGATGGGACTGCAGTTTATCATGAAAGGATAGATATCTGGCTCGAGCGAAATCAGCGACATATGGTACATTAAGGTCTTTATGAATGGTTTTATTTGTGACAAAGTATGGAGCATTAAGGATTTTACGGATGATTTTGGATTGTAAGGATTGGATACGATAGGAATTCTATGGTTTGGTGGAGCCCTAAAGCTTAACTCTGTATGTCCATATAGGTCTTATAGTTATGTAGATAAGTCTTTTGTAATTAATTGAAAGTTTAGAGCTTTTGTCTAGTAAGTGTTGGGGCTATCGGAAACGTCGAGCAGTTTCTTGTCGTTTCAGTCTAGTATGAGGATTCCAGGTAAGACGTTTATCCAAATAGAGTACTAAGTAGCGGATTTGCTCAACAGGAATAAGTGAAGTATTATTGAAGGATACTGTAGGACAAGAAGTCATAGGTTTAGGAAGGAGGGTAAAGATGATTTGATGGGATTTATTTTTATTCTCGAATTTTTACACCATTCTTCAAGGCTTATAATATGTGATTGAAGAATTTGGGATGCAATTAAAGCATCGTTATTAACAGATAGCAAACATGTGTCATCGGCGTAAGTGGTGATGACAGTGTCAGGATGGGTTGGGATGTCAGCTGTATAAACTATGTAGAGGATATGACCGAGGGCACTACCTTGTGGAACGCCTGCAGATTGAGCAAAGAGGGATGAGCATACATTATGTTAGTTTACTTTGAAGTATCTACCAGCAAGATAGGAATGTATAATGAGGAAGTATGTAGGGGTAGGATTTTGTGGAGTTTGTGCAGAAGTTCCAGGTGCCAGATTCGATCAAACGCCTGTTCAACGTCGAGAAAGACTCCGGTGTAGTACATACCACGCTCCAATGCAGAGGAGACTGCATTAACGACAGGACATTGTTGGATAGTGAAATGCGATGTGCAGAATCCAAATTGGTGATCAGAGATAATGTGATTAGAGTCTAGGATGGGGTACAGGCATTTTGGGATGAGTTTTTCCAGGATTTTGCCCTTGATAGGTAATAGAGAAATAGGACGGTAAGAGGATGGGTGTTCGGGTGGTTTTTTAGGTTTGTGTAACATTTTGACAATAGATAGTTTCCAAGGATCAGGAAAATATGTGGATCAGAGCACAGCATTATATATATAGGTGAGGAATAAGATGGCTTTCCGAGGAAGCAGTTTTAGGATCTGGGAAGTTTAGTTTTCATAATAAAAAATCCTATTTAACTAAAACACTTCATTTGTTATTTAAAAGTTTGATTTTTTTTACTCAATCATTTTGTATTCAATTCTCTTTCATTTATAATAAATAAATTTAGTTATAAAACTATATTTTAATATTTGTGTCTCTCCACATATTGGTCAGGGAACAGTATCATGGAATAGGGAAAAGTCATTTAAACTGTCTTAATAGCCACCCTTTTTCTCCTGAGAACTCAAGATAAATCAATATCTTGAACCGTCCCTTTCATTTATAAAATTATTACAATACTTTACAAAAAATATTGTCGATTTATTGCAAAAAGTCATTAAGTAACATTTAATAACCTTAACTAATTAAGAGATTTAAACATTTTTTCCTTCATGAAATCAGAAAATTGTTCGCTTGTTATAACTGTATTTGATGTAATGAATACTTGATGGTTGACCGTGGTATATAATTGAGTAAGGAAATGGTCTGGGGTGGCGGTCATAAAAAGACTAAAATAGTGAAAAAAACAAGCCAACATTAGCTACAAAATGATTTGAGCCAACGTTAACAGCCTGTCAACTGAAACTCCTTGCTGCATACACATCCCTGAAATAGACCTGCTAAGTTGGGTCAAAACGTTGGCTTGAGATAAAAAAAATTTTTTCATTATTTTAGTCTTTTTTTATGATCCTGGACCATTTTCTTACTCAATATATTTGATGCATAAAAGTTTGTTTTGTTTTCATGCCCTTGTAGTGTTTTTGTCTCAATACATAAGGTCGAAATTCATAAAAACATTTTTTAAAGTTAATCTATATCAAAAATGCACTTAGTGACTTTTTGCAATCAACAGGCGATATATTCTCTATAATTTAGTTGTTTTTACTTTCACTTACCTATATATGAAATATATAATAAGGGACAGTATTGCGATCGTGAAAATTTTTGACTCTGAGTTTTCAACGGAAATACATGTTTTGATGTTTCCTCAGTCCAAATAACCAAGTCCCACAAAATTGTGTGTGTTTATGTGAACAATCTAGCTCAAAAACGAATGTGAAATTTCATATTTAAGGTTTGTATATACCTTGTATGTTACAGCAAATTTTTCCGTAAAAAACGGCTCTTAACGATTATGATGAAACTCGGTGTATCATTGTATAATTAAGTAGTCTTTAATATCATTTAGGTCATATCCCCATTGATGTAACTTTACAGGGCTCAAATGCCCAATGTTCATATAGAGAATCAGCACATACTTTTATTTTAACTTATATTTATTTTCTTAAGTCAAAATGCATTTTAATGTTTTATTTATGTTTTAGAGTCTTGACAATAAAATACATGAAACTGTTGAAACAATTAATCAGTTAAAGACCAACCGAGAGTTCTTTTTGAGCTTCGCTAAAGACCCCCAACAGTTTATTAATAAATGGATAATATCTCAGACTCGAGACCTTAAGGTAAAATATTCTTTAGTTCCTCTCTGTATATTCAACATTTGTTTTATTATAACTAATATCACTATTATCATTCTTCAGACAATGACTGATGTTGTTGGGAATCCTGAAGAAGAAAGACGAGCTGAATTTTACTATCAAAACTGGGCCCAAGAAGCTGTCTGTAGATATTTTTACACAAAAGTGCAACAAAAGAGAGCAGAGTTGGAACAAGCCCTTGGCATTAGAAATACTTAAACATTTTTTTTTTGGTTTTTTGCTTATGATTTAAATTTAGAAATTTTTTACTCCTTTATATTCAGTCACATTTTAATCATTTTATTGGTTGATAATATATTTTTTAACACATTAAATTTTTGTTTATTTAAATCCAAGCTAACTATCTATTTGATGTGTTTTCCTTGATTGGTTAATAGTGATTAATATAGACTAGAAAAAAAACAAGCATCTGATATTAGATGTTGTATTAAAATTTGAAAAATCCTACTACATAGCCTTGTGTCACTGAAAAGTAGGTAAAAAATAAATTGACCTCGTTAGAATAGAAAAACTCCAAAGTGTATTTTTTCCCTGTATTTCAGAGATACAAGACTGTGTAGTTGGATCTTCCCAATTATAACCACAAATAACTTATGTTTTAACAGTTACACAAAACAAATCATAAACTTATATTCGTTCTTTTAGGATGATAAATAAGTTGACACTGCTTTCTGATTGATTTATTAAATATAAGTAAAAAAAAAAGGAATTTATTTACATTAAAATTGAACATATTTAATTAATATGAAAAATAAATTAAATGCATTTATTTCTTATTCTTGTTCTTTATAACAGACACAATTTATTTTGAGCAGATAATATAAAAGTAGGTACTTGCATGGAAAAAAATAATGTAGCAGGGTGAAATATAGGGCTGCTAAAGACTATACCATTTAAGTGTCATTCAGCTCAATTTTATAAACATCCATTCATAAAATCTAATAAAAATGCATTTTAAACTAAATACTTTTGTTCAGAGACGACAGGGCGAAAGAAAAAAAATAGAATAGGTCTAGAATTTTTGCATCACAAGCCATGACTTGGGTGGAGGTCTCAATGTGTCCCATGGAACTTAGTTGAGGTATCAATTTAAACCAAAACGTTCGGAAACCGCTGAGTGAGCCCAAGACGTATCTCTGTCCACACCACTTTTCTTCATGCTAATTATCTTTGCTTACATACATTAGAAAAATTTGGGACTTTTTGTATTTTTATTGTTAAAACCTAATCTTCATCAAAATAAAAAATGAAAAAAATCATGCAAATACCCATTTGGAAAATTGCATCTGTGTTTTATTTATTTTTTAAATGGATATAAAAAATAAAATTAGATTAATATTACATTACAATATCTGTAAAGAATCAACCAGAAATATCATTGCAGAACTTAACAAATAATTTACTCAGTTTTAATTATTTCTTAAAAATACAATAAATGCTTAAAAATAAAAGATTCTAGATAGATGACAAGAAATATTCAGAGACTAGTAAAAATAGTCATCTTTTAGTATAATTTTAATTTTATTTTCTCTTTACACATCTATGTATATTATTCACAAGAAAAAATGCAACTGAACTAATTGCAACCAGAAAAATAATTAAGAAACATTTAGACTTAAATCAACAAGATAACTTTTATCATCCAAAAAAATTGACAGGATTTTTTTAACCAGTTAGCTGACATTTCAACCCAAATGTGGGTGATCATCAGGGCATTGGTAGGAAAGCCTTACAAGAACCTCATTTACCCCCTTATAATTTCAGCAGTCAACTACATATCCATCTCTAAATAATTTTTTTTGTATTAACGATTTAAAATTAAAAAAAGAAAGTAAAAACCTGGGTGTTAACTGTTTTTATCTCCAACCTAGGCATTTCTATCATTTAAGAGGGGGAGGGGTTATTCAACAGGTATAACATATCGGTTTTTTTGTTCTCCCATTCCTCATCTTTTAGGATATATAGAAATAGAAATAGAAATAGAAAAATCATCTTTATTCTGGGACTAGGTCCCTTTAGAATAACAGTATTGTTCATATATATTAACTACAAATCTGGTCAAAAGACTTATTACAATGAATAATGACAAAATACATGTAATACATTAAGTATTAATTAAGCTCTTAGGATAAATTAACGAGGACAGTTGGGTAATAGAGGTTCATTACTACAATATTGGAGCTAAAATAATTGCATAATAATCACTGAATGAAATTAGAAAGGAAAGTAGAATCTATTTTATAGGTAAAGCATTGTTGGGGGCGGGGTGGCCGAATAGGCTAAAGCGTGTGTAACAGCACCGCTAGTTGCCTGGCAACCGGATAACAGAGATTTGAGATGATATAAAAAGTATGAATTCGCATCCCGGTGCCGGAGGGGATTTTAAATTCCCGGCCCGGGAAAATCCCGTATAGCCTAAAAGGCGAGGTAGGGAAGAACAAAAAAAAAAAAGGTAAAGCATTGTAGTGATGGAATATAAAAATTAAAAAATAATAATAATAACTGTTAATATGTAGGGAAAGAAATTGTAAAAACTAAAACAAAAAAATATATAAAAAAACAAATAATGATATACATATGTTCCCTAAGATATTTAAGTGATTATGCGTAAAGATTAGGAGAAGAGAAAATAAAATAAAGTATATATATACACATAGCGAGAAGTATGTTGAAGATAATTAGAAATAAAATACATTTCACTGAAATACATTCCATGAATAACAAATTAGAACTTAAGGAAAACAAATTTTATCTACTCACAATGCTTAGTGAGTGGTGATGAAAATTCACGTTCAACACAGAATAAAACAATAAAAAATAAGAGAAAAAAAAATAATGTCTAAAGAAAATTAAATCCTTATAACATATACAGGGTTTTTCAGACCAGGAGATGAGGGTGGGGGATTAATGCCAGAATTAAATACCCCACTGGCACCAGGACGCGAACTTGTACTTATTTTTATCCATATAACTTCAGTCATCAGGTTGCGAGGCAACGCGTTGGTGCTGTACATATGCGTTATCTCGCTTGGCCACCCTGCCCTCTAGGTATAACATTTCTATTGTATATGAGTATGGATATTTATCTATTTTCACCAAAGTGGAAAGATTGAGATTCATTCCATAGACCCACCACAAAATAAATTTGAACACACTCGAACCAGATACGAGCCGGCACCACTAGACTAGGTTGCTAAGGTTATGAAGACTTAACACTCAGGCATCATGCCATCCCCTGAGTGTTAGCTTGGTAACTTCTTCTTTTTCATCCTTGTTGCATTTTTGCATGGAGGAGACTCAATCCATAGAATACAAGGAGCTTTCCTTTATCGGTAGGTGGCACCACCTACCCATTTCTCAGTCAACCCTTGGTGTAATTTATACTTTATTTTCATGTAAATTTAGAAGAAAATAAAACCTTGAAGACCCTCTTCAATGCTCAGGCCCCGTGACTGACACCCTGGCTTGCCCTCACCAATGTATCATGTGTTTTTGGAGAAAGGTCCGTTTGAGCTATTATTTTTGTTTTCATCCTAAGCACTTCTCCTTTAATCCATTGGAAGACTGAAATAATATTTATTGAGTCTTCTGGACACAACACAATATACCATCTAGTTGAAATGAACACAAATCAACATTGGCACAGAATACCTACACTGATAAAAAGTTTTAAAGCATTATTTCAGCATCAGTCTATAAACATGACCTTCTTATTAATAAGCCTGATATTGTGACTGAAAATTAATATATTTTGAATTGATGATCATAGAACACTCTGGTTTTTACTAAAATGTTTTGTAAAACACTTAGGTTGATAACTATTCTTCATTCATCTGGCACACATGACCAAACCATTTCAGCTGTTTCTACTTGACAGTTGATTTTATGATAGACAGTTCAAAGCCCTCCCATATTCTCAATGTTGACTTGGACAAATTCTCAACAGTGGCATGAGAAACTATATTATTCTAAAAATACAACTCTTCCTTCAAGTAAGAGCCCTCATGTTTTTCTGGATATTTATCTGGTTGATATTGATCAGTCTAGGTAGTTTAGTTTAGGTTATACCGCACTGAAAATGAACAGACCTAAGACAACAAAAGTTGGTACACTGGTCTAGCATATTCTCAGTCAACCCTATAGAATAGAATAGAAGAAAATATTAAGTTTAATATCTTATCTAATAGAAAATTTTAATATCTTTAAGTCTCTTAAGATCCTAATTACTTTTTGATCTCTTGTTCTACTGAAATCCAGGCAGCTTCTGGACTAATTTTTTTTTTAAGCCTAACTTTTCAAATTAAAAATTGAATATGATTAAAATTAATCAAGTATTTATTCGAAAAATTTACTTAGAATATGTATTTTCTGTTGAAACAAAGGTATAATAATTTTAATTGCTTAAAATACTATTTTACTACTGCATAAAAGTAAAAAATAAATATATACTGTAAAATAGAATTTAAAAGAAAATCAATCAAGATCTGTTAGTTATATTGAATTAATAATTTGACAGCTAAAAAAAGGAAAATAAGGAGGATTTGAGAGACTTAAGGCTTTTTTGTTATACCCACTAAAATTAACAAATTAATTTAGTCATCTAGCACTGACTAGTAAGGGTGGGCAACAAAACTTGTTCCTGATTTCAGTATTACTCTCATTTCGTAATTAATAATTATATATATATATATATTTATTGAATGTAATGGGAACTGCGAATACTAATTTATTCTAGAAGGCAATATCAGAAAAAAATATTATTCCCCATAATATCTCGTAAGATCAATTCTTCAATAATACTAGTGGTAGGAAGTTTTTAAAATATCTTATTTAAATAAACTTTTTTTGTAATAAAGTTCTGGGTTTAGTGTAGAAGTTTCACCTTAACTAATTTATGTACTTTGTTTTAAAAAAAAAGTTACATTACATTAGAAATGAGCAGTAACTGAGCTTAGATTACAGATATAATTATCTTTAATGAACTGTCTGATTGTCTCAGCAAGAATCTACTGTACAATTACCATTTTTAAAATTTACTTTCTGGAACATTAATTGCTTTAACAGAACTTTTAAGTAAAAGTTTATAAAAATAAAAATTATGTAAAACATTTAGTAGAAAATTTCCAGTCATCGAAACTGATTAAAAACAAAAGTTAACTTTTCATTTCAGGCCTTGAATAAAACAGATTCTGACAACATTCCTGAATCATAACATGACTACTATATTAATTTAAATTTTAAAACATGATTTTACAGCTTAAAAATAAGATCGTAAAAAGTTTTTGAGAAGTAATTAAACATAAATCTAATACTTAGCATATCTGAAAATGTAAATATGCTACTGATCTTTACATAAAATACTTGTTCATTGGGAATATAACATTAAGATATATACATCATTAATAAAAAAATATAACCTTACCTTAAGAACAATAAAAATAGGTGATTCATATTTATAAAATATATGACTATAGTGTCTTTAATCTATGGAGACCTGTTTTAAATTATCACATAATGCAGTCATCCATATCTTTGTATCAAGAAGCTATTTTAATTCTATGCTCAGGAATAACAATGGTGATATTGCTTTTATCATTCATCCATCGAGCAGGATATACACAAAATAAGAGGAGTTGGAAGAGCGATAGACAGAATCCAGCTAAATTTAGATACTATAATAAAAAAAAATCGATTAACAATAAATCACAAAAATACTTCAATTATAATAAAAATAATAATACCATGACAAATCCATCTTTTATCACGTATCCATACAGAGTCCACTGAAAGGAAACAATAGTAGACATGAGAATCAAGGGGAATGGAAGACTCTCTGCTGATTTTACTCGAATCACACGAGCCTAAAGAATAATATAGTTGAATAAATATACATATATATATACAAATAAAATTTAAACCCTTTTAATATAAAATTAGGTCCTTACCAAGTCAGTTAAAGGAGATGCAAAAAAGGAGATAGTAACAAAGCTGCAAACAATACCGAGATGTTTCCTTTTCAATTCAAAATCTTCAAGAGATTTAATATGTGTTTGAATGAAAACCAAAAATGCAATAACAATCAGTATTTGTTTGATTAATTTGCTCTAAAAAACGTTACTATAGGTTACAAAAAATTTTTACAAATGAATTATATAGATAAGCTTTCATTATATTAGGTGTATTCATGCAAACAATGTAAGTATGTTAAAACTCTAAGGAGTTTCTAAAACTAAAATCTTATTTAACATTTGAACGTTAAATATGGTTGGTAGCACACTTGGCTTCAACATAGTCTGTAAAAACTAATGCTAAATTTTGTAAACATGTAGAGAACTTTTAAGTTTAAGACTGCAGTGCAGCACTTAATAATCTTGCTAAGCATAACGAGGTTGCTGTTGAGTGGGTACCTGGTCACTTGAGCATCTCAGGCAACAAAAAGGCTGATAGATTAGCCAGGTCAGGCTCAGACACTATTCCCATAACTCCTGAACCTGTATGTGGAATTTGTCTAAATACTGCCAAAAGAAGGATTAGGGAGTCACATGGTGTTAAGTTTAAGCAGTATTGGCCTAAGATTCAGCGGCATTCGAAGCTGTTCCTTGAAGGGCCTTGCAATAAAAGAAGTAAGTTGCTACTCGGTTGGGATAGAACAGCACTAAAAAACTTACAGCGATTTATACTAGACAGTATAACTTAAACTATCATATGTATAATCTCAGATTGACCAGGAATCCACTATGTAGATTCTGTCATAATGAGAACGAAACAGCCTTTCACATTGTTTGTCAGTGTGATAGGTTTGCAAGGCTTAGACTACAGCTGTTTGGGAAGGGCCGAGTGGAAGAACCCAGAAACTATGAGTCAACCCTATAAGCCTATTAAAATATGCGGAAGCGACAAAAATAACGTATAACATAAAACGGTTTAGAACATACCACAATAGATCCTTGTGGTCGCGTACATTAAACAAAAAAAAAAAACTTTTTCTTCCTTTTGATGTCCTTTCCTCCGATGGGGATGGAAACATAGGCAACCAAAAAATTATAATTTCCATATATTATGTATATATACTTTTGACTGTATATTCTAACTTACTTCTTCTTGTAATTCTAAAACTAAGAATTAGCCTCCTAGTAATTGAATTATAAAAAATCTCAGTATTTGTTTAAAAGCGGGTAGCCTTAGAAACTCCTTTGTTCTCTAATCTTATTTCACACAACCTCCCTTATCTCCTCTAACCTAAGTTATTCTCTTGTTTCTTTTTTGTTCCTTGTGTAAGCTGTGAGTTAGTCTCATTTAATTATGGATGTTGTCACATTGCGGGAATTGCCATCTTCAGAAGAAGAGGCTATCAAATATTTTCAAGATGCCAGGATATTTGCAAAGGTGAAATATTGTGATGAAGGTCATCAAATGAAGTTTGACAGGAAGATTAAATGGAAATGCTTTCGTAGTTGTAACAAAACCGTTTCTGTAAGGAAAGGAATGTGGTTAGAGGGGTCGAGGATTTCTTTTTTAACGACTTTAAAATTATATATGCTGTTTAAGTGGTTTTTTATTATTTCATTTATTTTTGTCTATTTTTATTATTTCATTTATTTTCATATATATGTTGCAATGTTTTCGTTGTGTTTTTAATTATATATGTCTAATGTTTTGGTCTATTTAATATATATCTTGTAAAATAAAAGTAATTTTTTATTATTACATTTGTTTTTGTTCAAAATTTCAATAATATCAATACAATACAATAAATATGGATACGAAGAAATAATAATATGAATATGAAGATATTATCAGTGGCTTATCAGTTATCAGTGGTAAGGTTATAAACATTGGCAGATAGAAATCAGATGCTACCCCACTATTAAACAAGTACCAAAATCTCTATAGAATACATATTAGTTATTCCATTCCTAATATCACTAAATAAGCTCTAATATTAGTTATCTTATAAGAGCAAAACAAAATACATCACTAAATTCCGTAGATAACATAATATCAATTTATATCATTATTAAACTTAACCAATAAATGAATAAAAGAAACAGTAAATGACTAAAAATTGCCAATACTTTTGTAAAATTTAAAATTCAGGCTTTTGTTTAATACGTTTTCACTTAATTTTTCCAGCATTTACACCAATTTCACATGATTGTGTTGAACTAAATTTATTGTAGATCTTATTCAATAAATAATAAAAATATTTAAGAGTCTCGGGAGAAAATATGATGATGGATCCAGTAAGACTTTGGCTGTAAGTCTTTGGAAGGAAAAGGTACTTGACAATGGAGAATAGAGTCTAATTATTAGGGAAGCCAAGGCCCACCTTGGGCTGCAGAGCAAGTTAATAAGAGAGATAATATATAGAGTACTAACAATTTTTTTAGCTATTGTGAAAAGAAAAAATTGTTACCCTTTTGCTGCTATAAATGTAAAATACACAGACATAAGAAAACATCAAGAAGGATCCCAGAACGTTAATATAAATCAAAATAAAGTCATTCAACAGTTTCGCATAGCCGGACCATAAACCACAACTGAAAAACAAAACATAAATTAACCTTCAAGCATAGCTAATAATGTGATAATTTGATTCTTACTTAACTTACGAAAGAAAACCACAGATAAAAGGAATTCCAGATACATCATCTGATGAACCTTTTTTCATAAATTTTCGACAAACCAATCTATTAAAAAAAATATATTTACTGCAAAATCATTATTTGGCACAATACTCAATATAAATACAAATTAAACCTTACATTCCAGAAAAAAACTGAATTATCTGACATACAGAAGCACTAGTTCCAAGAACCTCTTTGAAATCTTCTAGAACCATAATTGTTTGTGCAATATTAAAAACTTTTCTTATAATACGAGACTAGGTTTTTTGACAAGATTGTTAAAATATAAAACCAAACTTGGGTGAATACTACATGTTTTCAATAAGTATTAATTTTAAAGAACAATGCATTTGTTAATTTTCTTTCTGTATTCACATTAAATAGAATATTGTAAAATAAAGAAAAGCGAATTCCATAAGGCGGTTAATTTTCTTTAACAACTTAAATACTGATAACGTCACCGGTCTCGTCGTTCACCAGTCATTTTGCATTATCGGTCTAGATTAGAAAAGAAACAATAACAATAACGATGGAGTTCGATAGTACTTTCCGTTATCGATACGTAATGACTTATCGATGGTAACAAAGTGGTAACCAATGAGGGTATAAACCTATTTCGGACATTTTTTTAACATGACCGATAACTTGTAGGTTGCTGAAGAAAACGAATAATTTTAGGTAAAATGGCTTTTTTATGTCATTTGTGGAACGCTATTTATTGGGACTATACACATTTAGTTATATAATCATAATTATTTTTTTAAAATAAAAAATAAATTGAAAAGAAATTAAAAAAGAAGAAATATCTGATGATTAATTAATTAAAGTCATTTTTTATTTAAAAGACAAATCTTTTATCCTGTTTGTGTTTGTAAAATGTGTGTTTAAAAATATAAACGTTTTCACCAACTGTTCTACTAGTCCGAGAGTCTGTGAGAAAAAATATTTGATTAAAACTTTGAAAGCAGTTTTTTGAATATTTATAACTGTCTTTTTGGCACAAATTTTTTGTTATTTTTTTCCAACTTAATTGCTAAGAAAATTCTGATAAGAGCATTTAAGTACTTAAATGCAGTTATCAATGGTTAGAAATTATTTATATTTTCTCGGTGAGTAAATTGAGTTTCATAGGTTCAGTAGTTAGAACCTTTTCTTTCTAAAAATCTATTGTTTTTATTCTGGTACGGACATTAGTATGAAAAACTGAACTTGTATTACACCAATTCTTAAGCATTGTTTTATTAACTGTGGTAGTGGGCTTATTAAAATAAGGTAAATGTATTTAGTGGAAACGTACTTATTTTTTTATAATATAACGTTTTATAATTTTTTTATCTACACTTACTTGGTATTTAACCCGGCTTTGTCATTTGATATTGAACTATTGCAATAAAAAATAGGTACCAGCCGCTTTTTATTGGACCAAATTTTGTGGGTTTTAAAATATTTTCTGCAGACCAAGTACTGTTTTTTTTCTGCAGACAAATCGTGTGAGATTTTTTAAATTTATTTTAAAAATATTTTCTACGGATTGACAAAAATGCCTAAAAGAAAGTCCACTTTAATTTCATTTAAATTCAATTCAACTATACACTCTATAAAGACGTGTACATCAACTAGTTTAACCTAAAATGAAATGTATATATATTTAGATGCATAGAAACAAACCTTGTTTATACTGGTTGAACTAATTTTTTTTTTAAATGTGTCGAGGAAACGAATACATATATATTTCGGATTTGGGAGTTGAAGAACCTGAAAAAAAAACTAAAGAAATATTGGCGCAAAGCAATAAGTGAAGAAAACAATGCATTAATTCTGAAAACTCGATTGTTAAATTTTAGAATTCATTTAGAATTAGAATCCATTTAGAATTTTAGAAATTAGAATTTAAGAGTTACTGGCTATAACCATATGTCAGATCGAATGAAGGAATTATTAACACCACTGGCATGATCTATTATAAAATTTCTCGCTTTTAAAAATTTTCGGTAAATGAAGAAGCTTTGCTTGTGGATGCAATTTTACCAAACAAAATATCAATATAGTTTTTTATTTTAGCTAAGCCGTTAAATTATCATGAAGGGTTCGTAGCACGAACACGTTTCAGATGTCAATCGATTCAGCACAAACAGAGCTCTAAAAATCAATCATCAACTGTAACCTATTTCATATCGTTTGTCTTTTATACTCGGAGCGGTGTGGCCGAGCGGGCTAACGCTTATGCAGACAGCACCCAGCGTTGCCTGGCAACCTGATAACCAAAGTTATGCGGATTAAAAATAAGTACGAGTTCGCGTTTCGGTACCAGTGAGTTTTTTAACTTTGACATTAATCCCCCGCTCTCACCCCCTCGCCTGGGAAAACCTCGTATACCCTAAGAGGCGAGGAAGGGAGAAAAAAAAACGCACTATACTCAGTGGATGTGAAATTTGCTGCCTTAAAATTTTATTTTGTAAAATATATAATACATTCGGTATTGTTAAATTATAAAATATAAAATTAAAATTATCAAAAAAAAAAATATAAAATTATCAAGGTTTTCTTTCTGTAGTTTTAACTACATACTGCAAACCTAATTTATTTATAGATAAGCGATATCTATACTCTTTTAAATAGCTATTTTAATCTTTATAAACCTCAATAGCTCTGAGACTGGAGTTATCTGGTTTAGATGGATTGATAGAACTGCATCATTCTGTTTTAGCATTGCTTTTTTGCTACAGTATTACTATTTGACTTAAGCATTTAAGTCATGACTATTTTAACTAATACTAAAATATTTTTATTTTTTTATTTTTATATTTATCTCGTTGACAAATGCCACTAGACTAGTGGACATTTGCCCCAAGAGGACAACTTAAAGGGTTGCCGATCATAAGGGACAATCACCACTTGTTAACAACATTTATATATACACAGTATTAAATAATTAATTTTAGCCTATTAATAAAGCAACTGTATTAGATAAATCTTGAATGAAATAAAATTTAAATATTACATTATATAAAACAGCTCAAGAAATAAATTAAATTTTTTTATAGGTGATTACGTCATTGCCTTTGGAGGCCAAATGTCTAAGGCCGACTGGTCCATCGGCTTCTGGCAGTCCAATATACACACGATGGGCCAGACTCCCCTACCGTGAACAAATTTTTTCAACAAAAACTTTTTCAAGTCGAAAATCAAGCGTCGTTTGTAATTAAACATCCAATAATTACGCAAAACGTGCTGAAATAAAACATCTGGGAAATATATTTTTCTTTCTAAAACACTGATTACTTTTTAAAATATTTGAAGCAGTTCCGTAGAAGATGCACTTAAGCGACAGAAAAGCGGTACTGGCGTGGGTGCCTCTACCACACCATTCAGTGTTAATAAATGGCTTAATTATAGTACTTTAATAACGTTTTTTATTCATTATATTTATTGTATTAACGCAATAATTTAATTGTTTTTAGTATCTCAATCCATATCGCTCTGGCAATCGACAATATTTCTTATTCTAGCTTCTACGATTCTTGAGTAGCTTTTCTTCGATACACTAAACAGGTATGAATCTCGATGGGTATTACATTTCCTCGTATCTCCTATCTTGTAAAGCGACAACACTACAGTCCTTTCATATCATTTTGTAATACATTTATTGCCTATGTATGCGCAAAACAGAGCGAAGCAGTTCGGTATAGTTCGTTCAGACCAGCTGACTTGGCAATTGCTTCGAATAAATCTTTCTTGCTGATAAAATGGTCTTCGCTATAATAAATCTGCGTCATCCCCTTAATATCATCAAAGCTGCTCCAGCATTTAACCCCCTTTTAGCAGCATCTTGAAATATTCTGGGCATCTGTCTACTATATATATTCGTGTAGCCATATAATGGATTCTGAACCTTGTTTTCTTTTCCTAGATTTTGGCACTTCCTTTCTCCTTCGCTTAATGTATTTTTCCAATTTTTGGGTTCAATTTCGCGTTTTTCCTCATTTTGAAACCAAATACTAACAATCAGTTCCGGTTACTTAGAAGAACTTATAGCTTCGCCCTTTCCATCTTTCTTTATGCAGAGAGAATAATACATTCAATATTAAAATTTCCTATTTTTTTATGATATGGTCCAACTTCCGAACAAAATAAAGGAAATAAAAACTAATTTTTTTTATTAGTGATATGAGTTTTACTAAACTACCCATAAACTATTCATTATATGTAGTTCTGATTAGGTATCTATTATTTTAATTTATAAAACAGGTATTAATATGACTCATTTCCGGGGAATTTAAATTACCACTAAGAATCATACAAAACAATGTGTTAACTTGCAAACGTTAAATAAAAAATTCAAGATATTCAGCAAAGTATTTTTGAATTAAATTTTATTATTAAAATTACCCTCGCGCGGGCTCATTACCGCGTATGGGGAGCGTCCCACGGGTGGCGGATGTGGGGATGGTCGGTGGAAATTCCTTGGAAGTTCCTCCCGGCTAAGTCCGATGGACTCGCTGACCAACAATGAGAGGGGCCCTCCAGACTTGCTGGAGGGAGGGGACCTCCAGACTTGCTGGAGGTAGGGGCCCACCAGACTTGCTGGAGGGTGTGACGTAGGATTGAACGCCCTACTCACATATCTTTAGTTCACCAAACACCACAAATAGTCATGAATCTCCCTAAGGTAAAACGCTCATTATCCGGAGGTAAACTAGGCCCCCGTTCGGGTCTCCGGGTGGGGAATGCTTTAGGGGATTCATGGCGCAAGTTGAAATATAGGGATTTAAATATTGGTACGTGGAACGTAAGGAGTTTAAACACAGCACGGGGGCTAAAATCGGTCGCGAATGAGGTAAATGGGTACAATTTGGATGTCGTGGCTCTGCAAGAGGTTCACTGGCCAGGGGAGGGCTCGATGAGGGAAGGAAAGTACACTATTTGGTACGGAGGAAGCGGAAATCATTGTTTAGGTACCGGGTTTCTAATTAGGAGTAGATTACTATCCGCTTTGAGGGACGTACAATTCTTTAGTGATAGAATTTCGGTAGCTATATTTCAGGGACGTTGGTTTAAAATCGCATCAATAAACATACATTGTCGGACCGAAGACAGTGACAATGAAGTCAAAAGTGAATTTTACGATAAACTCGAATGGGTTTATGATAAACTACCGCGAAACTACATGAAAATAATTGTAGGTGACGCGAACACAAAGGTAGGAAGGGAAGAAGTTTATATTCCGACGATTGGTAAAGAAAGTTTGCACGAATATAGTAATGATAATGGTATCCGTCTGATAAACTTTGCCATCTCGAAAAACCTGATAATTAAAAGTACGACGTTTAAACATAAGGATTTTCATAAATATACTTGGACATCACCGGATTCGCAAACACGAAATCAAATCGATCATGTCTTGATACAACACAGCTGGCAAAGCAGTATTATTAATGTACGGTCTTATCGCGAAGCAGAATGTGGGTTGGATCATGAATTAGTAATCGCGAAACT